ATTTCTGTGGACGTTCAGAAATTCCTCGTGATTTCACCTCAATATCGCGAGCAGCACGCGATATTCCGAACAGTTTTGTAAAAACGTAAAAAAATTATGTATAAATTAGAATTATTATCGTCTCGTGAGTCAGACGCGTGGGCTTCGTGGGTTGGCATTGACACCCCCCTCCCCCCACACAAATCTCCATTGTCTTTGAGAAGCGCGTGCGGCCCGACAATGCGCTGATAACAAAATTCCAGTGTCGAGGCGTGAGTGATCGAAAATCGATATTTCCTCATTTGAAGTTGTGATGAAGAATCGAATATCAGGTGCCCGTTGCGAACACCCTGTTCATCGATCCTTTTCCATGGGTTTAAATGGCAGACCAATCGATAAATCGCAAAGCACAACACGCCACTGCCGAGCGATAAAAAATCCAAAAACCACATTTCCACACGAGTAAAATAGCCGCGAGCCTAACGGATGAACCCAATGGTATCATTTATCTTGCTTATCTAAAGAGAAAACTCACTCGAGGACATTGACGCATCCGAGAGGTTGGCAATATTTGTTTTCTCTCCATTTAAACCTACGGAAATGAATCGATCCATATCGATCCTCGGAGAAGCCAGGTCTGGCAGTCTGGCTCAACATACTCACTACTGTACTGCCGTACCTACCAAGGATAAACGTCGTACGAGCCTTCAGGCGTTGCCAAATTTCCTCCGGCAAATCACTAATTTTCGGGAAAATTTTGGAATATTTGTCTATCGACTTCTCAGATAATTCTGTTCAGGGCCGGATTTACCTACTTTCCGCCCATAAGCCGCCTGTATTTTGCCACCCCCTTCTCATTCGTTTTGAAACATCAATAAAAACCATCAAGTAAACGTGCCGGAGGGCCAGAGGGGGAGGGGTGCATAAAACGCGTTTACTCGTGTTGGACACAATTTTTTGGGAAAGCCCCGTCAACACTACTAGCAAAAGTTCACGAAACTTTAGGCGAAAGTTAAGTTCTGAAACCTACCTCTCAATTTTTTAATGAACGAAGAAATTATGAAAGAACAAACATGAGTGTGGTTTAAAAATTTTAACTTCCGCCGCCGCGCCGCGCAGACCGCATCGTGTTTGGCGCGATGAGTGAAGTATTCTTACAGTCTTGTAGGCGCTTTACGTTTCACGCCGAGTCGCCGCGCCGCGCCGCGCCGGCCGCTGCTGAACGCACTGTGTTTGACGCAATGCGTGAAGTATTCATGTCGTTTTGTAGGCGCTAATAAGTGTTCCATGCCGACTGCCGCGCCGGGGGCTTCTCCTTTTCATCTCTAGCTGTTCCAGACCAACTTGCGTGTTTGGTTTCTCTCTTAACTCGACTAATTGAAGGTGCTGTCTCTTATATCACTGAAAGACGACAAAATTAGAAATTACTATACCCTCAGGAAATGAGAGCTTTTGCCGCTTTTTCTTGTTTGTAATTTTTTTTCTAAATCCGATCTTTATATGACTACATTTAAAAAGATTGCAAAATTTGCCGCTCCCAAGATTTGAGGAACGAGGAATCGAACCGGGATTTTAATGAATGCATTATGTTAGGAAATTGCGTATCCCCAGGACTACTAGTTATAGTTCATCACGAAAATCTCGAGTTCCCGCAACTTTCTACGGAAAATCCGTACCTTTTCCACACTTCCGTAGCGACCTTCCGAAATCCGTGCTTTTTCAGTATATTTGTACTTTTTCCGTACAGTAGACACCCTGGGAAGATAAACGGCATTGCCAACTTGCAAGATCATCACTGGTCCCCAGTACCGCTGAGATGAAGTGTAACGCCGTCAAAATAACTCAGTCCTTGCGGCATGCAACTTTCTTTACGCAGAGCCCCTCATTTTCATTCGAAGGGTATATGGATTCGCTCGACATGATTCGATCGACAATCGAGAATCGAAAACCCCGTTAATCATCGATCGACACATCTGTGAATCGATCGACAAAATCCGTGAGTCAATCGTCATATTCAGAGAATCGATCGGCAAACGCCGTAAGTTGATCCATGGATTGACCGACAATCCGTGAATCGATCGAAAAAATCCGTGAGTCGATCGACAAACGCCACGAGTTGATCCGTGAATTGATCGACGAAGCCGTGAATAGATCGACAAATCCATGAGTCGATCGAATTTGCCGATTGAATCACGTCGATCCGTTCACTTTTTTTTTTTTTTTTTTTTTTTTTTTTTTTTTTTTTTTTTTTTTTTTTTTTTTTTTTTTTTATAGATTCATGTCGATCGAATCGACACGGGTAATTTAATGATTTGTCGATCGATTCGTTTCTATTTGTATACGTCGATCGAATCCGTTTGATTCGCGTCAATTAAAAACTTCGTTTCAACTTCCAATCGCCGTCGAAGCTTTTGCATTGTCACTGTATTCAGGATTCATCACCTTTCCATCTCTCGAGGCGAATCATGCAGTGCTTGCTTAGTCATTCCTCGATCCCTTGCGTTGCTAATCGCTTCCAGCAGGAGGGGGGGGGGGGTGTTGAGCCTTTGCGTGATCCGGATCGTTTAGTGCACAAAGCTCGATAAAAACGCGAAAAAATGTTCCATAGTTAGAGCGGCAGGAAAATCGCAAATCCCCGGAGAACTTGTCGAAGCTGAAGCCTTGAGAAGTTGAGAGGCCAGAAGGTGGCACGATAATTTTCCCGAGGAGCGGAGGGACATAGCGGGGATGCGATCAATGACGAGGCGTAAGACAGAACCGATGCTGCTACCTATCGCTGTCCGCTTGAACCATTTTGTCACTGTCTCGTTTCCCATTTGTCCGCGCGCTGACTGCCCGCCAAGTTCAAATTGTCTTCAATTTCAAACCTACTTCCTTCGATGTATTGATCAGGGACTGGTAGCGGCTACCTGCGGGCTGATTATTGAAATTGATAGACAAAGCAATAGACAAAGAAGACAAAAAGGATTTGGAGGGATCCTATTGGTAGAAGCGGGTGTTTGCAATGGACAAAGAAGGTAGGTAATAGACTAACTAACGGCAACCCACGAGAGACTCGACAGTTAGTCTATCATTTTCCCCCGTAGTCTATGAGAACCACCCATTTCAACCAATAGGATTGCTTTATACCTCCTATGTCTTCTTTGTCTATAGCTTTGTCTATCAATTTCAATAATCGATCCGCTGGCCGCAAAGTATCTAGCCCGGATACGGGATCCCGGCCACTAAGCTATGTTCAAGGCTCCTGGATCTCAGGGCATGCGCATAGTATGCTATGCTGGTAGGTAGAAGGCTTCAATCCTCAGCATATTATTTTCAGCATACAGATCCCGAGATACTCATGTAGCCGGCTAGACGGTGACCCGACAGATCTTGGCATCCGCATACTAAGCTGGATCCTGTAGCAGCCCTCGAGAGCTGGATACGTCCAAATTCGGCCCGACGTTCACCCTGGAAATCCTGTGCGAGGGACAATGGAAACAATGTCCTTAATGCGAGCGGCTCAATGGAAGTTCTGCGAACTGTGGCGGCCAATCTCGGTGCACTAAGTGGCCGGCTAGTAGGCGATACCTGGTGGATATTAGCATCTCAGCATATCAAAGTAGCCGTCCACCCTTGTATGTTGGGATCCTTCGCAGCGAGCGATGCCAGCATACCTGGAGATCCGGCTACCAACGTATGCTGGCAGATCCGGCTACTTGGGCATCCGGCATTTTGACGTATACCGGGGGTCGACCTCCGCTATCAGTCCTTGGTATTGATACCCAGCGAGTATCCTTAATGTCCAGTCCACGCAGTATGTCTCATGGTTCTTATACTTCTTGACAATGCTTATTCCCTTATTTTCAGGAGCTCATTCCCTGATGAGAAACTGAAGTCCTCTCCTACTTCCCCGAGATTTTCTCAGGAAAAAATATAAAATTCTTCCAAGTTCCAGATAAGAATATAAAATTGTTTCATTGTTCAGCTGATTCTTTTGCGCGTAATCAATTTTTTTAATTCCAAAAGCATTACTGATGTTATAATATCTGGTCAATGAAAGCTTCTCTAATACAATGATAATTTGAAGACTCAAAAATGTCATTCAAGAAGAGGTCACTAATGGTGACAGAGGTGTAATATCATAAACCTTGCTAACATTAGGTCCTTAAAATTGTTTCTTTTGTTCAAATTTGAAAACGAAATGTCTCGAAGTGGTAGAAGAGGAGATTCCCGGTTTCTGGAGTGGGTTCTCTGATTTGGCCTTGATTTTTCCTGCAATTTTTTTAATCCCAGATACAATACCAGGTTCATCTCAATCCTCGACACCATGGTCTCAAAAGATTTCACGGCAAATCAATGAAGAAAAATTGGGTGCAGGAATTGTAGATCATATTTCATGAGTCAACAAATAGCAAGTAGGTTGATACATTTTGTAACATGTGCCTTAAAGAAAAGTAAAAACCGTTGTAAAGAAAAATCTTTGTTGGGTTCTGTCTGAATACGATACTTTTCACAATCTTCCTTGTATTAAATAATAAACAACAGATTGAAGCAAAATCTGCATATCTGCATTTAAAATTGCCTGGTTTTTCCTCCTACATTAAATTTTTTGACAGGAAAACTGAGCATCATAACGTTTTGGCACCATTTGATAATTTTGCCGAGATATTGAAGAATATTATCAATAAACTTGGGGAGAGAATTTTGATTAATGCTCATGGAAATATAATAATATATGTGAGGGACTCACCACTTCAGCAACATATGATGTTGTTTAGCAGATTCTGGGTCATGCCGTCAAATTATTATTTGAATAGGCAAATATTTTCGATGAACCGTCTAGGGGTGCAGAAAAAGTATGTTCTTGTTACCCACAGAGCGCGGCAAACAAGCGATTGAAGGAAACTTAAAAAAAGTAGAGCCTTTTCTTAAGTTTTGCCCTTCCTTCCCACACACAAAGTGTGAAATTTCCTGAAATTCCACACTTGGTGGAAAAAAATCTTAAAACTAAAATATGAAAATTAAGTAATGACTCACCATTTCAGTTTAGTTGGTCGGATGATTAGAATCAGCAGCAACATCGATGTACTTGAGAGATAACGAAAAAGAGGCAAAATAAAAGAAAAAAACACCAAAATATTAACTTTTTTCTCCAGAAAACACACTAAAAGAAATTACCATTGGCCCATAATTTACTGAATTTTATCAAATTGAATACATTAAAAAATATTGATTTAGTGATTGATTGATGCAATATCTGATATTGATCTATTTCTTTTTTCTTTAGCGCGCACAACACATCAATTAAGAAAATTAAGGAAAATTAAAAAATATTAGATTTTACACAAAAAATACCGCACAACACTTCAGGGCCAAGGTTAGCGACACTTCTTTGTGCTTGAATACTGCGTTGCACCAGAATGCCTGTGATCATGAATTACTCAGCAGCGATATGACATCTAGCAGCGATTAGTCATTAATTAGCGGCGTTTTGACTCTGAGTTTTTTGACAAACTTTACAGTGCTGTGATGAACAATCCCAAGTTTGTGAAGCTGTGCACGATCATCATTTAACTTCACACCATTGAAGGACAAACTGTAAGTTCGCCAGATGTATCGCCAACTAACTTTAGTATCAATCTTATGCCTCCGAAGGTAGAGCATCATTGTTGTCTTTATCCGTTTTTTCAGGTCTAGAACTGTGGAGTCTCGCTGCGGCACCTGAGAACACACCAAGATAAAATGTTCAAAAAAAGAAAATCAATTTAAGGAATGGATAATAATATCGTTGTCTGCCGCTTCGTGAAAAGGCATACTTCATTGCAAGGTGAAGAACCAAAAATGTTTGGAGAGATGACTGACCAAAGGATGCACCTTTGTCCTAAGGACCTTAGCATGGCAATTGTGATTCCTCAGTTTGTTCTTCTTTAAATTATTTAACAAGGATCAATATTATAAAATATTTGTGCTGATCAAAGACATAAAGACGGAACACGCCAATCCAATAACACGGGGGAGAGGTGAGGCCAGGCCTGGCGCTGTGTGTTTGTGTGAGTGTGTAAATGAGCGCAGGAACTCATGGCGGAAAACAGAAATTTGATTTTAACTTTTTCTCTTGATTTTTGCACATTTTTTGCTCTACACTCGTTTTAAATGCCTAAAACGAGCAAATCAAAAAGTTGGTAGGGTGACTTTTTATGATAAACCTACTTCGACTCGGTAACAAGCAAGGATCTCCCTTAAAGTTAATTTTTCTGTTGCTCATGGTCATCCCGCCAGTTCAAATAGGCCGTTTCAGTCTCAGATGATCGTTACTCCCAAATGAGATTAATCGGTTGATGACGGACCATAAATAATCTAAAGTTTAAAAAAAATATGTGGGTAAGTGAATTTAATCAAGAATCAAGGTAGAAAAATTTGACTACGCAATTTCATTCAGTTCCTGCCCTATATTTGAATTTCAAACTTGTTCCTATTTCGCCACCACTCCTCTAGCCAATCGGAGAGGTGGCCTCATGTTCTTCTTCTAGCGCTCCGTCTTTAAGTCTTTGGTGCTGAAAAAGTAATGACTTGGACAACAGGGAATTTTTTTTTACTGCCTAGGTAGGTAGGTACTTGCTGAGTTTTTACCATTTATCTAAAATACTAACAGGTTTTCAGACCAATTCCAAAGTGTGGTGGAAGAAATTTTTCAAAAATGTGCAAAATATGCTTTTATGCCTGAATCGCCTGTAACTGGGACATGCAGACGGCGATGTGAAGTCAGTTAGTTTGAGAGATGGTTTTACGATAAAAGGCTTTTATCTTAAAGCACATTGATTTTCAAATGTTCATGCTCAGCTCAAACTCTTGTGGCATGATAAAATTCTCCCAAGAGTGAGGAAATATTGCGGTTGAGATTGCGACTAATTTATGCTCCAAAAAACTTTTTCCGTCCTCATGAGTATCCATTGAATTATAAGTCCCTGAGCTTGCATTTGTGTAAGACTATTTGTTAAAGGAGTCATCAACCGATAACTCTTCATTCAAAATGGTCAGCCTGATCAATGATCTTAATATCAAAGGTAATGGACAGCCGATCACCTATTAAAAAGTCTCCAAGGCAACCTCTCAAGAAAGGAGTCTCTCATTAGAAAACCCCTCTATCTACTGAGCCTTTCATATTGATGTTCTTTATCGTAGGATGAGTAACAGTGTTCTGTCTTCCTAGGACTCCATGGGTCAAATGTGCAAGACAATTAGGGGAGCCTGGCCGTAGTGGCGCCTAAAAAAGTTGACACACTAATTCAATTTTTTTAAACTCGCAATAGTGATGTAGCAATATCGCATGATGCATATGCAAAAAGTTAATTTGGCTCCTAAGAAATCGTGAATGGCTTCTAAAACTTGAAATTTCTGGCCGAGGTGGCTCCAAAAATTCAAGGGAGAAGGCAAAACACTGATGAACAATACTATGAGAAAAAGAAAAATGTTTCGAAAGTAAAAAAAATTGGGCTTTGACAACAAACTTCTCCTCTGGTTTGCCCCCTGGTCTTTAACTTTCTATGCTTCTGGTGTTTTCCTACCCATCTCTGCAAAAAAGTTGATTAATCATTACCGTTACTGACAGCGTGACATCATCATTCCTTTCCACAAGAATTGTTATCGACTGGCCATAATGAACAGCAATGGCAGAGTTCACCTCATCCAAAGTGACATCTTGGGGCAGTACTTTCAAGAAGCGATCAGCTGCAACAATATCATTGACTGTCCTCCGAGTTATCTCCAGTAATTCTTCGTGGGTTAGATTTTCCACGTCTAGGTCAGACGGTTCGTCTCTGCCAGAGTTCTCACTGACAACATTTTCCGCTCTACCAGCTGAATCCATTTTCATCTGAAACATATCATTAAGATCATTAAATCAATCAAATTAAAAATTTTAACGTCAAAGTTTTCCAATGGGTCACTAAACCATGAACGAATTTTGACTTGCGAATATAGTTTTCTGGAGGAAAATGACGCGTATAACACGATGCGAACATTAAAAACCACGTTTCACCACGTTATCTCCTCACATAGTACTTTCAGAATATTCAATAAAATAAACAAGGTTCAGTGACCCATTATATTTGTAATTACTGTTAAAGATGAATAAGGAACTATCTATCTATCTGGTTGGTTGGAGGAAAAGATGGATTTTATCTGAAAGAACCCTACACATTAGTGAGGCTTTATTAGATCTCAGTAAGCACAATTGGATGAAACATTATTTTCATCATAAAGTTCATTATTAGGCCAAGGTCAAAAAATAGGTAATTATGTCCAATAGGAGCCGAGATGGGTATTCAGGGTAGAACATGACAATTGCTCGGCATTTCTGCCCGGGCCTCAAGCGCAGTTTGGTGTTTGGACTACCCACGGATACTGAGCTCTTCCCTTCCCCAAATCTATCAATTTTGCTTCAGATTTAACTGCCGCAATAAGGAGTTCGTCTCGATTCTCTTATCTTAAAATGAAATGCGTCCTGTCAAATCCATTGACGTATGATACAATCTAGACCGCGCATTAGGAAATTTCGGCGAGACTAGGCTCCCTTCAAGCGAGACGATAGGCAACCCAGCAAGTGTACTGGCGAGACAATGGTGGAATTCGTGAAAATGCCAGTCTTGCCAGTGCCGTTGCCTGATACGGGTACACTTAGCTCGTATATCTGGCGGTATCAACTAGGCTGAAGGCGCGTCTTTGCCCTGATTTACCCCCCTAGCTGTCTTACGTTCCTCGCCTAAAGTCGGGCCTGATGCGCGGTCTACATTGTATTATACGTCAATGGTCAAATCGCATGCTATTCTCAATCCTACCCTGCCCCAATACCCCCTAGACTGACCATACCTAAACATTCGGAACTCATCTGTGAGTGTGTGAGTGCATCAGGTTGTGAGTTTTTACACAGGACCTTATGGGACGAAGTGAATAAGTGAAATTAAGAGCAACATGAGATGACTGGTGGCCTTAAGTGATCGTTTCTTGGAAGTATAATATTCGTGGAACATCTATACCAAAAATTTGCCACTGAATCACTTTCCTGGCAGAGAATTTAAAACATTCAAGTGGATAACCACATCCCCCTCCCCTCCTCCCCATTCCCTTGACGGATGCAGTCCCTATGTAGTATGTACTTCCACTATTAAAATTTTTTTTTTTCCACCCAGAAACAGATTCCGCCGCCGAAGTTAAATGTATTCAAGGCCTTCATACTTGAAGTTTAAGGGAAAAAATTCTTGCCCCGTCAAATTTTACTCTTAGGAGACAAAAAAAGCTTTTTTCAGGTTCTCCCCATAAGAGCCGTGTAAAACGTTACAACCAGATGTATTTTAACCTCAAAGCAATGTTTAGGTATGGTCAGTCTAGGGGGTATTGCCTGCCCTGCCACTCTTCTGATTCAGATTCCCTAATTTCTATTTCCTTTCTCAACTAATACCTTAATTTCGAGTTTGAAACACACTCAGATAATGACATAGTCAAGTTAAAGGCAATTAGTCACAGCAATAACTGGTGAGAAAGAACGTGGCGGTGGTTCCTTGTTTGACAAGCAGATGGATTAAGTGATCAATTTTCGATACATTCATGATCACTGATTGGAGGCTTTTACGATGAACATAACGAAGACACTGACTTTGGAGGCTAATCATATCACCATTCTGAGAGTGCCCATCAATAACTAATCTCCTAATACTAAGTATGACGAAAGGAAAGTATGTAGTGGCGCTAGACCTCGACAAACCTAAAAGCACATTACATGCCACCTGCTATAGGTTTTGTTGTAAGCTAACCATGGCTAACCATAGAGGAATATGTAGTGACTCCAAGATGCTTAAGAAATTCTGATAATAAACGCTCACCAATTCTAATGTGATAATCCTGTGTGTGTCCTTCGTACGAGACTGATGTAAACAACTGACAAAACAGGTCCCACCTGTCACATGGCACGAACCGTATCAAGCAAATTCCGAGAAGCGAAACTCAATTTGCAACTTTCCGATTTCAAGTGCGATCTGGGTACAGGAATTACTAGAGAGTAACGAGAGACTTTGAGTTAACAGAGAAGAATCATTCTCAAGTTTAACACGTGTTGGACGTCTGTACCTCTGACCACACGATTTTGCTTGATTTCCATGAAAACTTTGATGGAAAACACTAAATTAGCACGTCGAACACGCGAAACGAAACACTAACTCGAGGAAAACAAAGGCACCTGATTAGAACTTGTTTACGTGAGCTGATGCAAGCTTCCAGACAAAAACGCGCCAAACCAGACACGAATTCCAGACATCAAAGCGCCGACACAAAACAATGCCATTGCCCTTTGCTCATGAACGCAATGAACCAGAACCCGCCCGCCAAGCGCCAATAAAACTCTAGTTGTCAAGTGATGCGTAAAAGTTTTATTTTCACAACACTCGCTTTACTGTTAACTAAATTAAAGACAATCATTTTACAACGCTGCGTGAGACACACTTTCCCTCGTAACGAAGCCGGGAATTCTTTTAGAGGGATACTGGGAATTTATTCACCAATCAAATATTAAGGAACTTATCAACTCCATGCCTGAACCAATCACGTACGCTCGTTTGGACACAGTGTCTTCACTTGAAAAAACTATTAATTTCCAAAATTATCAGCGATTTTTATGCTTGGCTACTGAACGAGATTTCGATCAAAATGAGCTCAAAACCTAGCCTGAGTTTTTAAATGCCCTTTAAGTTTTACAACTCAAATAATTTGTGGTCTCACCTTTTTATTGATGCAAACTCTAAAACCTAATTCTGGACTCTAGTTGCGTAATGTTCACACCCTTATTCCCTCTTCTCCCTTTTTCCCTCCTCTGGCCAAATCGAATGTATACAAAACAAAATCAGTGCAGTTATCAAGTACAAATGTGTTTCTGTTCTCAATTAGAATTAAGTTTCGGCACTTTTAATGACAGTGCCAATGATTAATATGAAGGATTCTTCTAGGCAATATTTTCCTTGAATGCTCCTATTTTTTGTTATTAAGGTAACCTACTATTATTAGAGCTCGCTCATCGTATGTTGAGACAAACGTCAATCTCCGATTAGCTCCGAATTCGCACCGCTCAACAGGTTAATACATGTAGTCAGGTGGCACCACTGGTGAATGGTGACATAAACAATCCTTTGACATTTGTCTCAACATACGATGCGCGTTTCTAGAATCATTTCTCTGCACATAACCTAACAACTAGCTCACTTAATCTTTTCCTGTTACTTTTTGTCACAAAATGTCCTATATCATGCAGATGCAACACTGTTCATTATGGAAAGAGTGCAAATGAAAGTTCATCCTCCTAAATGATGGTCAGTGCAATGGACTCAGTTTCATATCCTGTTCTCCGTCGGAAGCGGTCAGCCACCTCAATAGTTCTCACTCCTTTCTGATGGCCCCAATTCTGCAGACTCTCCCATTTGTTATCATTCTGATACCTCTGGTGATGAGTTGAACCATTTTGCAACTGAACTGTTCAGTTTGTAGCAGCTTATCCTGTATGGTCCAAATCTGATGTACTATTCTTAGTCGACAGAAGAATTTTCTTTGCTATTGCTGTACCTGTGCGCAGATGCAAGACCTTATGTACATAGCACAATGGACTCCATAGCTGGTGAGACCAGTAGGAGCGAATCAACGGATGAAAGTGTCAACATTCCAAAACGCAAGGTAAGAACTCACATGTTGGAGTTTTACTAATCCTGTTTCCAAGGAAATAATGTATGTTAGGAAAAAAACTAAAAGTTGATAACCGTTTTCATTGCAGAAACCATCTGAGTATGTATAACGAGTAATTAATGATAAGAAGGAAGAAGAGTCACCATGGAGGGGGGAGGGGAGGGTTGAAGCACTTACAGGCTTTTTTTTAAACCGTGGAACGCGATGGATCGGGATCTTCGCGGTTCGGGACGGTTCAACTGGCCTAACCGCAGCCTCAACTCTTAGTTGGTGTTGCCTCAACCCACCTTGGAAGAGCGGTCCAAGCGTTCCACTGGAATGGATGGAACGTGCCAGTGGAACAGGATAAAAAAGTGATGCGTTCCTTCGATTCTCTGCGGTTCAGATAAAAAAAAAAGCCATATAGAGTATGAAAGAAACTAAGTTTTCTCTAAGGACATAGGGAGATAAACTGAAAACGGCTGTAGCCTCCTTTTTTTCCATATGATCAAAAAATCATTATGAGGCTTTGATCAGTTGCAAAGCAGGCTTGCACACAATCCAAAAAAGTTTGAAAATAGAATGGCCTACCGAAGAGAAAGTGAAGACAGCATACCCACTAGTCTTATCAGATGGACTTATTAGTAAAATTTCCACCTGAGTCAAATAATTTTTTTGATGGTTTTAAACAGTCACTTGGAGCTCTGCAAAGTTCATCAGATCATGATGATGGACCTAGATTTTATAGGTCATGAAACGGTTTGCACATCTATGGTAAAAACTTCCAAGATTAGTACGCATAGGTTGATTCAACCATCCATTCAATGCTGATAATTAATGTGTGTTTGTCAACAGGGTCATCAAGGATTGAAGGCTAATGTTGTTGCATTAGACAAAGAAGTATGGCTGTGGTATCGGAAAAGCGCCATGAACAATCAGAATCTGACAAAATGCGATGTGCAAAACTATGCTCGCAACATCTATCTGCAGGCCAATATCCAAAATTTCAAGGTTTGTTGCAGTGTACGTATGAGGACTTATATGTAACAATAGCAGATGTGGAGTTTTCACATTGTGAGAAAATCGCGTTTGAAGTTTTCGAAGCTTTGCTTTTTGCCGCCCGTAGAACCGAGAGGATTCTTATGAAGATTTTCATGAAGAGCAACCCTTCTAGTAAAAAACATGCCCTTTGCGATCTATGTAAGTGAAAAATTGAAGGAGTAACAGCGATTTGAAAAAAATGTGACATCCGCTGTTTTTACTGAAAACGTTTTTTTATGCATGAAACAAAGTCTTCAGGAAGGATAAGGCTGGTGAAATGATTGAAATGAACCAAAAGTAAGTCAATGCTGGGTCATTTAATAAAATTGAACAAAAAACTAAACCGTTTGTAACTTCTTCAACAAAAATAAGGAACAAATTATAAAATCAATTAAGAAATCAATAATTCTGGCGAGATGGTCCCGATACATATAATTAGAGTGTCAGCTACAGCCCATGGCCGGTGGGCGGGCATTTATCGCAAGTGGGTTCGACTCTCCACAGTGTCCTGCAGCGCCGGCCGGGGAAAACAGTGGATTCTCACAACCGCTGTCTTTACAAATAACATGGTTTTCAGTTCATATCTCGTCGAAAAATTCATCCTGGAGCTGGAAGTCTGAAACTTTGCACTGGCATTCTTGAGGGCTCCAGAATTCAAGAAAAGCGTTAGCCCTAAAAATGACGGATGTTAGCGACCACTATTGTTACATATAAGTCCTCATATTTATCTGATGTGTAGCCGTCTCTTTTGTCTTACTCTTACCATAGCATACTTTATTTTCCAAGGGGAAACAGTGTGAAGGTTTCATTTTCCTTGAGACTCATGAATTAATGATGCATTAAATGGAGCTGCTACGGAGGAGTACATTATCTGGATTGCATTTAGTAAAAGAGTACCAGCGCAATTAGGGTGGTGTAAAAATCATTCATCTTCATCCTTATCTGTAAAATTTCTGCGAATAGAGAATAGTTTTTACTTTTTCATTAGATGTTGATTTTAGAGGAAACTAATCGCATAAGTTTTAATCCGCCCATGTATTCAATACCCTTAAAGGCTGGAAGAAGTTCCACAATTTTGAAAAACACCGTAATTGTGCTGGTTCCCTTATTCTAAATGTGCTCCATCTGTTCAAATCTCTAAATATCTTGCAGAACAAGGTGAACCAACTGAAAATGTCCAAATTCAGCTTGCTGGTGTGAAATAAGAGGTTTTTTTTACTTGTTACCTAGAAACTTACCCTCTTGCCCAAGAAATGAAGTCTTCTTAAATCAAAATAAGAATTAAACTAATTTCTATGTGCTTTCTCAGTGCGCTAATTTATTTTTACATGATTTTACAAACTCTTGGTACCAGAGAAAGAAGAATATTTTTGAGTAACTTGCTGTACTTAATTGCTCATTTCTAAATTTGTTTCCAACGCTTGACTTGACAGAAGTTTTTTCGGTTTTTTTTTTTTTTTTTTTTTTTTTTTCAGAAATGAATTTTAAAGTTAAAAATTGGTACGAACAATGTCTCGCTGACAAGTCCGCTCAGGCCATTTATGCTCAATGAGTATTCGGCGTGAACTTTTTATCTGAAAACTTGTCTTGGAACACTTTATTTCCTTCCCTGTCTAGTAGTCCCATGGTCGAAACAATGCTTGCATTATATGATCGAAGCTGAGTGAAACAATAATGGAATGTTTTCTGTTATCATTTGTGATCAGATTCTTTGTTCAACTTATTTTAAACCATTCTAATCTATGTATTCGAAATGCTGTCCTTCAGGCAAGTGATGGATGGTACAGGAGATGGCGCCATCGGTGGATGAAAAACGGAGATGTAATGAAAACTAAAATGGAATTACAAGATTCAGATTTAGTCGTCATGGAGGTGAGGCTTCTATAACTTCTCTTCATAAAATCAACCATGATCAAAGTATCCAATGTCAGCAGCAGCTTAGAATGTAGTTCAATTGAGATGTTGGATGAAGGAAGGGTACTTTTTAAGCAGCCTCCCTTTGAAGAAATTATCATTTTGAAAATCAGATGTCACTGATTTATTAGCAGTGCAAAATTTTACAGGTCTAGAAAATCCATAAGGTCTTGAAAACGTGCAGAAAGGATTATGCTTGGAATATCGAGAATGGACCACTACACAAGGTACGAATTTAAGCAATCTGATACATGTTTCTGAACCAGAATTTCACGTAAAACACGATTCACACAACGAAAATTACTGAAACCAACTCCTAACGAAGATATTAACGTTTTTATTTCACATAGGTTACGAGGAATTTGAACTGCCCCCTCACAAGAAACTCAAAGCTCTACGTGAGTCAAATCGCGCACTACAACGGTTTCAGCAAGCTTCTCAACCAAGCAATGTTCATTTCCCGACATGTATTTTCCAAACTATAAGCAATGTGCTATAGCTGAGCCAAGGCGTCAAGATTGAGGATGCCAGATTTTTATATCACAGAGACCGTCATGATAACGTTTAGCGTGCGATGTGAATTACGTAGAGCATTGAGTTTTCATGAGCGGGTGGTTTGAATTCACACATCAAGAATCATTAAATATCTTCGTTAGGAGTTAATAGAGTACCTGTATAGCGAGAGTATGGACAGATCGCTTCATGGAGGGCTTAGGGCCCAAAAGTGCAGCCACCCTTCTAACCAACTTCTAACGCACAAAATTTCACTGCCAGTCTGCAGGTTCCAATTCTAACCAAGATGGCCAAGAATGTACATAAATGAGCGTTCTTCCGCAAAATTGAGTAAATTTATGCAAAAACTGAGTCAAACACGTGCTTAATAAACGACGGTTCGTAACAATAGTATTAGTAAATCGTTCTGGATAATTGAAATTCATAGGTTGGCTGCATTTCTGGGCCCTAACTTTATTCGCAGAAGCATCGGTGAAGGCCTGATGGACTTTCGGAGTTTCACATCTGTCCATACTCTCGCTATACAGGTACTCTAGGAGTTAATTTCGGTAGTTTTTGTTGTGCGCATCGTGTTCTACGTGACATTTACGTTATGAAACATGTATCAGAATGCTGAAATTCGTTCCTTGTCTAGTGGTCCATTTCAGGTCTGGCTAAATTTCAGTATAATTTGATGTTCCTTGCAATGCCTTGTGTTCAATAAGCGTTTTAAATTAAAATTTTTACGTACCGATCTAAATAAAACAGGCTGAAAAGTTACTCTTTCGACCCTCTTATATGCGTTTTCTAATGGATGTGTCAGACTGCTGCTATGTGTGTGGACACAGCGCAGTAAGCTCTTATTGTTTGGAGCAATTTTATTATTTTTCGGATTATGAGGAAACAAAGGATCTTTTTAATCACCAATTAGATGTTGCAGAATTTCTCCCCAACATTTTGCATAAAAATGCTGAAAAACTCCCTTCTCAACCCTGCTTCTCTTGAGATCAGTATGTAGAAAGCTTAGTTTTAAAAGCTCATGGTGCTCAGGAGGCTGCAAGGAACATCATATGAGAACAAAATTTAGGCAGCCCTAAATTTCTTGGTTTTCTGTGTGCTGTATTTTTCCCGAAAGGTCCAAGAGATGTTTTGAAAATGTGCCTATTGTCTCGGCACAATTGGCTCAATGGTCAGGAAAAAACCTGGAAAGAATTAAGAAAATATGTGTATACTAATCAGCACCCCAGAGTCAAAAGGTACTTAACTTCATTCTTGGCATTTGAAGATATCAGAAAATGTGCATCGGCCCCAACGTAAATCTCCTAACCAGGATTAGACAGGGCTACTAAATTTGCCACTTGCATAGATCTGTCATTGGTGATTCCCAAATCGCCACTAACTCAATTTTTCCGATAATGTGAGTTAGGTACCTTTTGGCTTTGGATTACTGAAATTTTAGTAACAAAATCAAGTATCTTACTGAGATCAGTTTTTTAATTTGATGTAATTCTTTCAGGGTCTTAATTTTGCATTCCCGGACTTTGACGAAAATCTTTTCTCCATCGGTAAACCAGACCTGCTATTGAAAGCGCTTGAAAGTTTGGAAAAGGAGAAACCAAAGAAGCATTACTATGAATCGATACCAACTAGAAAACCAGCACAAACTAGGATTAAAGGCACCATTCCTGAGAAGCAAACCTTACGCAAAGGAGTGCGCTACAGACCGGAATTCAAAGAAAAAGTAGTTGCGCACTCGGTCTCCCACTCTTTCAATGAGTCTGCTTTGAAGTACAAAATCCATCCAACAACTGTTTCAAATTGGGCTGAAGGTAAACAAAAACCAGTAGAATCAGAAAGTGTTCAGAAATCAAGCATCGAGGAAGACTTTGCAAAATGGTTGCAGGATCTTAGACTCTCCAAGCGTCAAGTCAGCAAAGAAGATGTTCAAGAGGAGGTTACCAAAATCAAAGCACGGTCAAGTGGTGAAGTATCCAAATGGTTTTTGCAGTACTATTCTCGGCTATATGATGGCATGACCTGCAACATCCAGTACCCTCAAGTTATCAAAACAGAGGTCGTGAAATTGGCTGAACTGTGGTCTCAGAAGTACATATCATCTATTTTGAATATTTCTAGGAAGCAGATATACAATTGGTCCAAAGAGTCACATCCAGAGCATGCTATGACCCGAGTTGCAGGGAGAAAAGATGATGTTGGTAAGTGCTTATGGGATTGGTACATGGGTAAAGATCTTAAGCCCCTCAAAAAAGAGATTCATCGCCAGGCTGCTGAGATCGCAAGAACCAAGGGTTATGATTTGAAAATCACGAAAAGCTGGCTCTACAAGTGGTGCAACACATATAATGTCACCTCTAATTCACTCTTAGACAAACAGCTTCTCGAGTGGATTCTTAAAAGATTCGATCAGAACTCAACACCAAGCCAGGAAAGCATAAGAAGAAAGTGCGCTGCATTGCATAAAAATATCTATGGAGAGACCAACTTCAAAGCCTCCAGAGGCTGGGTAGAAAGATTTTGCAAAAGACACAGTGATCTTTTGCAGAACACTCCCACTCCAAGCACAGCTTTGCCTGAGAAATGTGAAAGTTGTAAAGACCGATTCAAAGCAACTCTTCTGAAAGTTATCTCAAAGCGGTTGATTCCTTTGGATCGTATCGGAATACTGGATGAAAGTGCATTGAGATTGGCCTCAACCAAGAAAGTGAAGCGCTCATTGCGGGTTTGTAGCTTTAAAAACATTGAAGGCAGTTTCGTTTTCTCATGTTTGGCGAATGGATGCGTTCTACCTCTGCTGATCATTCTCAGGGGCCCGCAAGCAGATCCTGAAAGGGTGGGCGATGTTTTTGTTGCCTATCATGAGACAGGAGCACTGGATTCAGCAACCATGCAATTCTGGGCGAAAAATGTGTGGGCACAGGTTTCATCTCCAAACGTTTTAATTGCCGATCGTTTTCAGCCTCATGTTGATCCATTAGTCAAAGAATATTTCTCTCACCATGGAAACCTGCTTGCTGTGATTCCCGCAGGCTGTGCGTCTCACTTTACCTGGGTGTTGTCTGAGGCCTGCGAGTACCTCTCAGATCGTGTGAATCAGGATTGGCAGACTTGGCTCCAAAATAGTGTCAGCGGTATTCAGGATGACACTTTGCAATCCAGCAAATCTCCCAGCCATGCAGAAATTATTAGTTGGATCCGGAATGCTTTTTACGAGTCAAGACAAAAGTTTCAGGTTAGTGTTTCATGAGTTCAGATAAACTGCTTTAGTGTAGTAGCAGATTTAAATCAGTGGTTCTAATAAGTCACTGGTAGCCACTCATTCTAATTTATTCGCTGAAAGCTTGTAGTGAACTCGGCTCCTAGGAATTTGTTGGTTCCTCATTTCTTACAAAATTTCATATTTTAAACGGGAAATTATTGTCATGACTCCAAAAAATTGAAAAAATCAATAGCTACCAAGTCTGCCAAGCAAAAGTTACGCACAGAAGAAAGGTCAAAAACTTCATTAACACACCCCTACCTGTAGCCTAGACCTTTAAGGCCTTTAGACCACGGCAATTAATCGCGGCGAGTGAAACACGAAAGCCAATGGAGAGCCTTGATTTCGATCCATTAACGTCGATATATCGAAATCCAGGCTCTCCTTTGGCTTTCGTCTTTCACTCGCCGCGATTAATTGCCGTGTGTATCTAGGCCTTCACTTTGAATTGGTTCTCGGGCTCCTCATATCCTAGCAAAGATTTTGGGCTATGATCAATAAAATTCGTCAACTTGGTCAATTTTACAAGGAGGGGAAACTTACTTGTTGAATACCTCTCGTTTAATATTTTCTGTAGACTTACGCTCCCCTCCTTCATTTTTACAGGCAATCATTACAGCTAACTTCCAGACACTAATGGCCTCAACTGAACAAGCCTAGAGGCTCTTGATAGATGCTCTTGCAGTAAAAATGGAGAATATGATTGAACCAGAAATCGTCTTATTGTTTCCAGCTTTTTACCTCCATATTGCTCAGCTGACCTTATCGGCATAATGATCAGTATGTTCTTTTGCTTTGTTCTTTTTTCTCTCTTCTCATTTTTGAAATGTGACTGCACTGTTTACTCCAAAAGTGTGTTCAATGGTGATGTTTTTGGAAGTTCACTGTCACACTGCATTTATTCTATAAATTTAAAGATGGTTTTGAATGACATGAACGTTAGAATATCAGCAACTTTTACAGGTGAAATTTATTTTTTTTTGTTTCCAATCATCTAAGACTGACTCATTAACTTGGAAGATATTGTTTTCCCAGTCTAACTTTTTTAAAGATTACACATTTTCTGCTATTGTAGACAAGTAATAAGGTTAAGCCAGTAGACACCCTGTGTCCTTTAAAAAGGTTTGATTGATGAGCTGATTGCGTAGAAATTTACAATGGAACAAATATTTCTTAATTTTTTCTGCATTCTTGCAGGAGAAAAATTAATCCTTCTCCATAGATGAAAGAAGTTAGTCTCAGAACTATTGATTTGGACTTCATTTACACAATTCATGACTTTTCAAAAAATGTCTAGGTATAAGTACTTAGCTGTAGTTTATCGAAAGACTGTAGTTCAAATAATATAGTAGTATGTAACCTTTTATTCAACACCGTAGTAACTCTAAGACTGTTGCAACTGATGACTTACTTTCAAACGCAGAATGGTAACCCAAGTCTGTGTTTTGTTCTATTGATTTTTAAGGTTTTATGATTTTATCTCATCATTATTTTTTTTCTTTATATTGCATATAGTTTGCACTGCACTGATTTCTAAGACTGTAAGAATTCTTTTCTTTGACTCATGCTTTGAAGGTTCCTTTTCACTTTCTGGAAGACGCCAGCTCCTTCTTTAACAAGTTTTTTCTTCTTAAAAAACACAAGTCCTGTTTTTGATGAAAGATGAGTTCACAGCGGTTTTTTACAACACTAAATGCGTCGACACTTCTCTTGTTTTAAGAATGAATGAGTTCATTAAGTTCAGAGAGGGGCTGATGTATGAATAGTTCTTCCCTGCACTGTAGAATCTCGATTATCTGACACCCTGAAAATTCCTGTCACTAAATAGGTAACAGAAATCGGCTTTTGGGCAAAAATGTAATAAATGTGTGTTTTTTTTTCTTTCTTTCCAAATGACCATGTTTTATAAATACGATTAGAAATTGGCCAAGCTTGTGCTCTCTGGTTACAGACAGAGCATGTCTGAAATCAAATTTTTTCAATCTTTGTTGGTGGTGTTGATTATTCAACAACCCGGCAGCCCGCAACCGTCGGTTAATCGAGTTCCACTATACTTTTAAGTGGAAGAAAATAATCACTACCTCAAATCCCTCCCTAAATTATTTATTTCTTGGGAGCTATGAGTTTTTTACTATGGAAGAGTAAAACCGTATACATTTTCAATAACATACTGCGGTTTGAGTAAACTCAAGGAATTCTAGATCTCAGCACCAATAATTGAAGAGTTTGCCCGCAAAAGGGTGTCTTTGATAAATTTCTTTTTAGCGAAACTCTTTGAAACTTTGAGAGGGTGGCTTTGCATATTTTGGCCTTTAATTCCGCACAGGAGCATCAGATCGATATAAAATTATGACGGTGTCTTTCTGAAGATACCCTGATGCTGTACAATTGATTTTCAAAACGATGACTAATTTTACAATACGCCCCTCTAAGGGCAGACTTTTCAATTGTTATATCCAGCAGGACCTCAGAAAAATGTAGTCAAAGACGTTTTTCTTGAAAGTGTGGAGGCTCTTAACTTTAAAAAGAACAATTTTTTAGTCGCTGCTGAATCACATTTTAAAATTCAAAATGGCTTTGAGTCTCTCTCCTTAACCATCTCATTTATGAATTGGCGTTATGAATTTTTCTTAATTTTTTCTGCCAGAGGTACACAAAGGTAATTTTTTAATCACTCTTTGTATTATCTTACCTGATCATCGAAGTACAAATTATTATATTTACCATAAATCTCTCCATGCATTGTATATTCTTCTATTATTTAGACTGACGGTCACCATTACTGTGCCTTTTACTGATTCTGTATCTCAAGACCATTGTGGAAAACAGTCCTGTTTTTTATAGTATCAGTGGCACATCTGAAAGGTTTCGAGTTTTTAATATTCTCTAAATCTTGCTGTTTTACTACTCTGGGCAAGAACTGAAAAATATGCCTTAAGTAACAATTTTCATAGTACAAAGGAATCGATAACCAATTCCTAGTTTTTACATTGATTAAATTAAGAAAAACGGTGCAGCAAATTGAAATCTGCTTGTGCAAAAACTTTTGATGTCCAATATTTTGTTCCAGAATTTTACTTCTTCTGTGATTTGCAACTGAATATTGATGAAAAAATACCGTATCACCAAATAGTTTTCTTGAAGGGTCATCAAATATTTGTCATAAGGTTTAGGTATTATGGACTTGATTATCAGAAGACTGGGGCAAAATTAACACTGACTTTAAATAGATATCAAACATTTTGTATGCGGTTTGTCATTTATTGGCTGCGTTTGATTTTACAAAAATTTTCTTCAACACCTTCGAAGGAAATCAAGGACGGTCTCAAAGTCTAAATTGTTCTTAGTTTTACCACTTTTACAAATCTGTACGAGTAAACGTTGTTCAATGAACGCAATAACTGACAGAACTGTATCAATAATTTATAGCTCTCATATTTATGTATATTTTAACTTTCACTAATGTTGGTTACAAAACCGTTGACTTTCATGTCATTAAAATGTTAAGTTTTCTAAAGTACAAATGACAGCAAAGCCTCTTACAGTCAAAATGTATTTTTTATAAGCGGCAGTAGTACTGATTTACCGTTCCAATGCTGTCAATGACTGTAATCATCCGATTCATATATTAATGTCAAATTGTTTAACGGTTTTAGGCCGTGCTTTGAATGTAACAATTTTAATTTAATATTTTCTTGTTAGTTTCCTGGACCATAGGACCAGGTGCAAAGTTGTTGAAACATTTTTCATTCTGTAAGAAATCATTCTACCATCAGATGGTAGTCCATGCTGTTTTTCCTACCGTTTCATGAATGATTTTATCTGCTGTCCACTTATTAATCTGGGTATCCTTTTGAAAGGGTACACCTTCTGGTACAACTTGAGTGTTTATCCTGCACGGGTGAAACAACATCGAAAGCTTTTTAAGCTTCTATGTTCTCCTATGTATTCAACTGTTTCTAAGCTGTGCACAGGCACAGCTAATGATTATCTCTAAGGCACATTTAATATGGCTGACTTGGCACGATATACCACTGTCCAATATTCACTATGCAGGGGCCATGACAAAAAAACAGCTTGGCAGGATAGTACGTCCAGGAACAAAGAAAAACACGCTCTAACTGAGTTTTGGGTGCAGCTCCTGCTATGCAGGCATCAAGTACTCGAGTGGATACCCATCTAACACATGAGTGCCTGTTCTTCGTCGAACGCAAATACCACTTAATACATATTGTCGGTGAAACTACCAGACTACGCATCGCGGCTTGTGACATTGCAGACTTCCTGTAATACTTTATTTTTAAATGGAAAACCTAACACGATTTTTTGAAAACTTCGGTGATGTATCTTCTCAGTGCAAAGAAAACTGTGTGAAAACTTCCAGGAATGATATTGATATGTTCTTAAAAGAAATAAAATGGGGGAGATTTTTTACGCCGCAAACGAGAAATGTGGTCAGGTAGTTTCAACACCAATATTCTATCAGTCAAATTCATTATAGACAGCCCTTGTCATTGCAACTTTTTTCCACTCTTATGTGAGCAAATTTTGTATGATGATAATGAGACTATTACTGTGTGAAAAATTCTCAGGCATTCCAGTGTATTTTTTATCTTTATGGAATTTGTTTTTCGTTTGCCCTTCTTTTCATTTTTCTCTCACTCTTCTATGCTTATTTTCCCTATTCTTGTCCTTTTCTCTTGTTTTGTACAATGAGAGTTGTTTTTCATGGATCAAAAAGTCGAAAAAAAGGTTTTTGTCATCCCTGAGGCAGATTTTATAATCTGAGCCGGTATAAGCCAAGAAGTATTCTACAACAATGAATTGCATTGTTATTAGTTCCAATGCAAGTCTCAAAAAACTCTTTCTGTTAAAACCATTTTATCCATGATTAATACCTCATTTGCCATTCAACCTTATTTAATTTATTAGTGCGGTTGGGTTGTTTTCTTCTTTCTTCCCCAACTGTTTTCTCATGAATATGTACTTTTGTTTTCAGTTACTAGGTAGGGACTAAGCCAGTGAGAATTACTGTACCTCCGTAACAAATAGTTGACTGTGCTTTTACTTTTTGTTAGCTATACATTTTGCGGGTTTTAATGTTGTTAAGAGCTTTTTTAGTTTAATAAAACTGTTAAGTAATCTCTACACAGTATTCACCTTTTTATTTTCAACAGGAAATCCGAATCTTAAAGTACCTATTTACATCAACGCAACAACATAATTTTACACTTTTACTGACTAAAAATTTTTTGCTACAAATTAAATCTTGTCTAATAAAAACGTCTATAAAAATCAGGTAGGAGGACAATTTTACAAATATCGATTCATCTCTTGAAATTTAGAAAAACTGAGCATTTTTGCTGAGGAGCATTCTTGCATCCTGACAGAGTAATGAAAAAGCATAAAAACATTACAAAAAGTAAAATGAGCTAAATAATTCTGTACAGAGCTAATTCTCAGAAAAATTTACAGGTATGTATTTACAAACACCTTGGGTGTTGCAGAATGCTATATAAGTTGTAGAGTCTATAATTGTGATATTCTTTACTGTTTTTAAGACTTTGAGTATACGCCAACTAATTTTATGCACTTTTAGACTGTGGCAGAAGATCCACTATCTTTCTTTTTGCACTAACATTCCATGAGAAAATAACATCAAATGATCTTCTATTGCGGTCTAAAAGAGGGTAAAATTCTTTGGCATGGACTCTACCTGTAGGAATTATTCAATCTGCAAGTTCCCTCTGTTTTCAAAATCCACGAAGATGAACCTATTTTGACCATCTAGATCTAAAAATCTTTTTAGGGTTTTACTGAAATCAACAAGCCAAACCGACACTGAATTGGACCAAATGCAGTCATATGCAAGCTGCAGGAATGTGCCGAGACAATAGTCTTCCGTGACATCTTTGCAATTTACGAGAAGTTCTCACTGAAAGCTGCAACAATTTACTGCCGAAAAAAAAGAAATAAAGGAAAAAAGGCAAGAACATTGAATGTATTTCAAATCTTTTCTTAGTCTTCAGCTTGGATCATGCAGGATTTCAGATGTGGAAAAAACCCTTCACAAGTTTGGCAAAAAAGATGATGAATCAATAGATTTCATTCCAGGATGTGAATAATTGCTCACCGAGTTTGATCCTCACATAAGGGAATAAATGAATCAAGGTATGCGAAAACGTCCGATGTCCATTTTTTTGGATTTTGAGTTTTTTGGCTTAACGTCATCTTCCAGGGTAGGCGAATCTATGTGTGGACGGATTTGACCTTTTTTTTGTTTTTTCGCCCCCATTTAGGGATTCGAACCTCAAAAATATGCGAAAACGTCCGATGTCCATTTACGAGGGTCATCCAATGAGGTTCCCTACCTCTTATCTTCCAAACGGAAAGAGATAAATCAAATCGATAAAAAAGTTCTTATAAGGCATACTCTAAGCTTTAAAAGAAGCTCAAGTTTTTGAAAATTGGTTGAGGGGTTCGCGAGGAAACTTAATTTTACTGCAACAACTTCCTGTCGCCGCGCGCCCACCTTCGGAGTCTGGATGCGCGGAGTGTCGATTATTTCAGACTTGGATTTTCGCCGCTAAGCATCATATCAAAAAGAAATTTGAAGGTTTTTATTGAGTAGACCTTACCTTACTTTTTGACGAAGTCCCTGCCTCTGTTTTGACATTTCTGGTATCAATATTGCAGCTTCTTGATGCCTTCCGCATAGAGGCTGGCTCTTGTCTTGGCACCGGAATCCGTCATTGACAGCGCTCTGTACTTCCGAATCATTCGGATTCCGCTTTCCACCGAGGAAGTTTTTCAGCTCAGTGAACAGACGAAAGTCACATGAGGCTGAATCGTAAGAGTACGGAAGATGGAGGGAAATTTTCTTATGCAAAGCAACTGATTCGGAAGTGTAGAGGGCTTGTCAATGACTGGTTTCGGTGCCAAGACAAGAGCCAGCTTCTACGCGGAAGGCATCAAGAAGCTGCAATATTGATACCAGAAATGTCAAAACAGAGGCAGGGACTTCGTCAAAAAGTAAGGTAAGGTATACTCAATAAAAACCTTCAAATTTCTTTTTGATATGATGCTTAGCGGCGAAAACCCAAGTCGGAAATAATCGACTCTCCGCGCATCCAGACTCCGAAGGTGGGCGCGCAGCGACAGGAAGTTGTCGCAGTAAAATTAAGTTTCCTCGCGAACCCCTTGACCAATTTTCAAAAACTTGAGCTTCTTTTAAAGCTTAGAGTATGCCTTATAAGAACTTTTTTACCGATTTGATTTATCTCTATTTTTATTAAACTGACTACATTACGACTTTCTTTGAATATTTTCTTCGAGCCGATGACTTTAAATTCTGCGAAAACGGTACATGATAGCCCATGATTTTTGTTTAACAACCTGTATAAGTAATCGAAACTTTCCTAATCTTTTTTAAATTTTTAACTTGTTTAAGACGCATTTCAAAACCATTTTACTGACTGTAAATTTTTTATAGATGGAAAGTCATGATTAATGCTAAAGTTTCCGTCCGGTAAATGTATTACTCCAGTATTTGTCTTGTTCTTTCTCCGTAGCATGAGTTTTCCTGTTAAAAAGTTCACACTTTATTTTGTTTAACATCGATTCACCCTACTTTATATAATTACACTCGATTTTATGCATTCTAGGCAATCCTAGAGTAGAGCAAAAGAGTGGAGTGGTTGCGCGGACTGCACCGCCCCGGAAAATCCATTTTGAGACGGTAACTTTTGCAACGCTGGGGTGCCGTCTCGTTACGCTCTAAGGACAAGCTTGATACACGAATTCGTAGCATTTTGAATCTACTTTCATTTGAAAGGATCTACTTACTTCAAAGAATAGCTGAACAACAGTTACAAGCAAAAAACCATTAAAAAACGAAATTTTGAAAATTTTGGGCTATCTATGAGAACCCTGTAGTGACCGCGATTTTCATCAGAAAAATTTCAAACCGGGTTAAATAAGACCGAATTTTTATCTGCTTTCATGTGAGATCCACAAACTCTGTCTTAAAATCAACGGCTTTGGCGATAATAGCCGTAAAACGAGAGAATAACCTATTTTTGACCGGTTTTTTATCGGGGGGGGGGCTTGGAGGGGTCCCCATGATTGTTCGAGGGGGCAATTTTGGATTCTCGTTAAGGTCCCCCTATAGATGAGAAATTAAATGAGAAAAAAAGTTCTGCTCCCAAAACATGCGATGGTAGCCGAAAAACGAGAGAAAATAACCGATTTTTGACAGTTGTTTCGATTATGGAGGGGTTTTCGGGGGGTCCCCATGATTGGTCGAGGGGGCAAATTTGGACTCTCGTTAAGAACTCCCTATAGATGAGAAATTATATGAGAAAAAAATTTCTGCTCTCAAAACGTGCGCTAGTAGCAGAACAACGAGAGAAAATAACCAATTTCTGTCTGTTTTTTTGATGTTGGGGGTTTTCGGGGGGGTTCCCATGATTTGTCGAGGGGGCAAATTTGGATTCTCGTTCAGGACCCTCTGAAGATGAATAATTTCACCCTACTTTGTATAATTCTAATCGATTTCATGCATTCTAGGCAATCCTGAACACATATCTTGAGGGGCAATCTCAAAGTATGCGAAAACGTCCGATGTCCATTATTTTTCTTCTTCCGCCGTCACGTAACTTTCACTGAAGCCTCGAAGAAAAGAGAAATATTCTTTTTTGTGTTACTGGAGGTCTGACATTGTGTTTTACTCTAGTTTAAAGGTTTTTGGAGGGGTCAAAAGTAATGGTTTTTGGGCAGATTTTTGCAATGTATGCGAAAACGTCCGATGTCCAAAGCCCTTTTTTTAAAATTACTCAGCACTGAATGGGAGTTGGAATGGGACACAGTTGTGTGCCTTTTCTACAACCCTTTACTAAGAAACACATGCCTTGATTTTCTTCAAAACGCCAATTCTAAAGGCTTCCACAGTTTTTTGCGGTTTACCAAAAGTTGATTTTTTGGACATCGGACGTTTTCGCATACCTCGATTCAAATAGAGGTCTGTCAATGAATTTAATATCAGAGGGATAAGAGAGGTAAGTACCACAGAATTGTCCACTTAAAAGAGGATACCATCACCGACTTGAACAATTGGACAAACTATCCACTCTTTCTTTTTAGGCCTTGTCTCCACGGGACGTTTTCATGGGATTTGTCTCAAGTTCGAATCGCAGGGATGAAACTTCTGGGATTTTTCCCAGTTACCGTCTCCACGGGACAGGGCTCATACAGTCCTGCGACTAGTTTGCGCGGGAAGATAAATTAGTTAAAGTCGAGTATTTAACCAGGATTAAAATAATAATTGCACTCAATTGACAATTAGACACATTTTTTAACTAAACAAACAATAACAATGTAGTAATGAATAAAATATCGCACGATTCGTTTTCACTTCTTCTTCTTCTCTCAGTGGATCCTAGGGGTTCAAGTACCATACTTGGTACTGGGGAAAAATATTGATTAACTCAATATTTTTCCCAACTTCGTAAGTGGGATTTTTCCGTGGGACAAATCTCGTGAAACGGCTCGTGGAGACAAGGCCTTAGCTTCTATCTGTATGAAATTAGGAACAAGCTGGCCCCTTTCTAAGACCTGCTTGACTGAGTGAGGACTTTCAGTTTGGCTTGTTGTTCAAAGTTTAATCTTTGGATTTTTTCTTGATTAGACCCTCAAAATCAGTTATTTTCATGGATTTTGGAAAAGAGGAAAGAAACTTACTAATTGAACAATCCTTGTTCGATTAAATATCTCAAACTTGACCGCTGAGAAGGAACGTAGGAAAAACATTGAACACGGATAATGTTAGTATTCATAGGAAGATTTTCAGTATTTCCTTTTTTTACAGTTTAAATTGATGAATTGTAACCGTAAGTCAGAGGGGGGTTTCATTTCATGAAGCCGATATTCCTCCTCCCAGAAACATGGATAAGGTAGACAAAAAAACCTTAAATTTCCCTTCCTTCATGCAAACCTTCTACAGGTTTCTGAACCTCTCATCATTTTGATTTCAAGTCATTCATACACTTTTTCATGTACGAGTCCAATTGAGAATAATCAACTAGTGTGTCTCGGATGAGTTCGCGAAGTATGGTTGGCCATTCCTGATCTAAAAGACTAAGCTTCCGTACGGCAGCGTTTGTTTGATCCAGTAGGTTTGCTAGGTGCTGCTTTCCTTTGTGCCTCCACACTGTCTCATCCTTAAATTTAAGATAAAAGAGAGTAAGAATAAAACAGTCTTTTAAAAAAACCACAAAGAGGAGGACATTTTTTTCACTTTGAGGTAACTCAACACCACTGAGCCACTGGGCTACTGGCCAATTGGCAATAGATGCTGAAGCAAAAATTAATTATAATTTGTCAAAAAAAAGGGTAAGTAAACTTGAATTATGTGAATCTCAATAAAAATTAAAACACAAAGTCTTGAGACAACTGCAGTTATATCTTCAGGACCATAACTTCACAATTTACACAGAAAATGAATCCTTAAATGATAAAGTTCGGACTTGCGCCTTTTAATGAGGCCAAAGCACGGTTAATTTGTTTTTCTTTCTTTCTTTCTTTTTCCAAAATCCTTAAGAGTGGTCCTTTCTTACATCCCATGTCACGCCTTAAACATGCAGCGTTGAGAAATTTCTCCAAATTCAAAAATATGCCCTACCCTGACCATCACTACAATTTTTTCAAGGAATCTCAAGTTCAAGTAAAATTTTTTTAAAATATCTCACCTGAGAAAGAGTGGTGTTGTGCCTCCACTGTAAAGCCTCCTTAGCAACAACGCCACGCAATGGTGGATCAGCTGCCCACAGCCACTGCTTAGCAGAAACGCGAGAATGAACCTCCAACCTCAAACGATTCAAGAGCGGAGAGAGTAGCTCTTCAGGAAGACTTAGTAAAACTAGTTCTGTCAGCCCACTATATTCTTCATTAGCTTCTGCCACCTCTTCTTCCGTCACCTTAGTTACACGAATAAAAATAAAATACATGATTAAAAAAGAAAATTAATTGTGACAGTCTTTGACAAGTGAAATTATTTTAACATTTAATTAACAAGAAATTAAAATAAATAAGATAAAATGATTAAAACAATATACAATTTAAATTTAAATTAATAATTAGGAAATTTTATTTGATTGCTTGGTTTAGGCTCATGGGTTGGACTATAAATAATTGATTCATAATTTGATATGTAGATTAAGACCTTTAAGACCTAGATTTGTAGAGACCAGCTTTTAAAGAAATAAAAATTTTTCTCAAGAAGGGTCTAAAATCAGAGTTTGACTTTTCAACATGTGAGGAATGTGGTTCATTTGTATACCAACAGAAGATGTAGAGTTGCATTTTAAATCAAGAATTTTGAGGCAGTAACAAGGTAGATTAAAACCTAAAATACATTTTCCTCAAAACTATGCTTTTTGAACTGCGAATTTCAAACCATCATAGCTCTGATTTAGTTAAGTATTTTTGAGCGTTTTTTGTGTAACAATGATCATAAAGCACTCCTGGATCCGTGGTATTGACGGCTAAGTTTTGAGTGTTTCTGTGCTGGAAATTTTTCAATAACAAAAAAAAAATTTCAGTTACCCAATAATTTTTCCACTACGATCCTCTAGAAATAAAAAGAGAAAAAACGTACTTACGTACTTTCAAAGTAAGTACGTACCTCTTTTTCATCGATGCAACAGAGCCCCCAGTGGGAAAGTCTGTAAACTGCATAGCTTCGCCATGGTTTCAGGGTGATACTGTTACCGTGCGGATGAATTGTGAGCGATGTGAGGCCCTGCACATCTGCCAGGGCGTTGAGCTGGCCCAGACAATAGATGTTAGTCTCTCGGAAGATGAAGTTCTCAACATTTGGGAATCGATGTTTAAGTCTCGGAAAAATTGGCGTCAAGGAATTAAAATTAACGTAGTTGAATTTTACGATAACTACATCATTAGCTTTGGCTGGGTTCCATGGGCGATCGATGAATCGCACTGCACCTTGACCATAGACGTTCAAAAACCGGCCATTGATCTCCACCAAGTAGTCACCTCCTTAAAAGTAAATGGAAATACAACTTTCAGTTTTCTCATACTGCAAATAGGATTGATTACCGATGAATAACCTACTTTACACTGTCAATTCAAAGTTTAAACACGCTTTTTTTTAAAAAAAAAAATCAAAGGCTTTGGAATTTCAGGGACTTTTCATGGTGTTGTAATTGAAGTTATAGAGAACTCTTCGATGCCTTAAAGAGGATTCAAAAATGGAAATTTCCCTTAAGAAAATATCTTTAAAATGTAAATATATTGTAAAGATGCAAATAATAGGTGAAACTATTCAGCGATTATTCTTGGAAGAAAAAAGACCGATCTTCAAATATGGCTACTTGTTCAGTAGATTATTGAATTATGTAAAAATTAAGAGCATTGAGGCAACTTTCCACACTGAATGGATGTTCAAGGACTTTTTCAAAAAGATTAATGTTACTTTGCAAATTCTTTTACACACACACAACACACAGTTCATGAGTGAAATCATTGTTGATGGACGTGAGAACCTACTCGTTGTCAAAGATGTCTCTGAAGTTTTGATGGGATACAAAAATGTTTGTAATTCTTGCAAGTGACACAAGGAAATCTAGATTTTTTTTTTTTTTGCACTTTCATTCCTTGATCACTGATAACTGAATAGAAAGCCACAACCAATTCAGCTAGAAAGCAATGAGTTTATACTGTCAGTAGAAAAATCCACTACAAAAAAGATTCTCATCTTAAATTTCTGAACAAATGCCCTGCGCCGAGAAAAAAAACCTAAAGAACAAAAAAAAAACTGAATTCAGCCAAGAATTACCTGAGAATGAAATTTTTTTTGGTACATGGTATGCAGTTCCCAATCAAGAGCCTTGTGGCTAAAAACATGAAACTTTTTAGTCTTTCAATGGTGCAATATGATCTTTCTTTAACCTTTAGGTAAGGCTATTGCCAGGTCCAAACTTCAAATTGCCTCTCCTGAGAATTATTTCTCCAAAGTAAAAAGTTTGAAATACGAGGTCTGTTAGATTAGAAACCGGATTTTGGTCATAACTAGCTTACAATGCGTCCGAATTAGGTTTTCTTGAGCTTTTATGATAGCTGGAAATATACTTGAGAACGCTACGTTCACAGATTTTGTTTATTTTGATCAGTGTTTATTCTGTGTCATCTTGAATACAAGTAAGTCAGGTGCGTTTTGCGATTTTCAGCATGCGATTACTGATAGAGCAAAGACTCGACATTTAATTTTGTTTTAAACTAGGTATACCTTGTACCGAAACTTTTGGTATGCTAAGTAAAGTTTACCAAGATCATTGTATGAGATGTTCCCACTGTTTTGAGTGGGTTAAACGATTCAAAACTGGTCAGCAGTTCGTCGAAGATGAGGAGTATGGGAATCTACCCTCAACGGCAACTGACATTCGTCACGTGGAAGAAGTGCGGGCAAAAGTGCTCGAAAATGGTCGTTTCGAGCTTGTTGAACAGAGTAATATTTCTGAAGGCTATGTGCATACAATTTTGATAGAATATGTAGACACGCATCGAGTTTCAGGTACACTTGCCCCTTGATTGTTGTCCGTTGAACGAAAATACAACCGAATGTCAATTTCCCTTTAGCTGCTTGAACGTTCTAACAATGATCCTACATTTTTGGATAGGATAATTTTCTGTGACAATACTTTAGTGTACGGCTACGATATGGAGACGAAACTCCAATCGTCCTTGTGGGTTGAAAAATGTAGTGCAAGACCGAAAAAAGAGAGACAAGTTCGGTCAAACATAAAAATCGCAAAACACCCTTGAGGTTGCCTTACTTCAAGCCACATACCAACAAAGCTAATTATGATTTTTCAAATTTGTGAACGTAGCGTTCTTAAATATATTTTCAGCTATCAGAAAAGCTCAAGAAAACGTAATTTGGACGCATTGTGGGCTAGTTATGACCAAAATCCGGTTTCTAATCTAACAGACCTCGTATCATAATTTCAGTTATACTTAAAATTTTTAAACAAAAGAAATTTAACACACTCTGCTCAATGGTAATAGGAACTAAATTTTGAGTTTTTCAGTGATGCCCTTTTCTTGCAGATGACCATGAATTAGGGGAGAAAGAAAACCACCAAAATAAATATATAAAATGGTACCTTGTTCACGCGTCCTACTCTGTGAATGGTTCATCACTTTATGTTTCCCACGGATGCTGGCTGACTTCTGAACACTATTTTTAATATTCCTTACTAAAGGATGCGCATTTGGGGTAGTCTCCACCGGTGAACTTTCACTGTCAGAGCTTGAATCAGAGAGCACCGAACTGGGAGAGCTTTCATTCGCAACATCTAAGAGTGCAGGGAGTCGAATCGGTTCTTTCTCCGTCTCCTCCAAGGACTTCAACTCTGGAGAAAGCCGAGGGGTAGAATTAAAATTAGTTAAAGGCTTAATATCACAGAAATTATCACATTTCAAGCTTGAGCAGTCCGATTCAGACGTTGAGTTAGTTGGTTCCTGTGTTGTTGTTGTTGTTGTTGACGATGAGAGATTCGTCGATGCAGAGGCAGATGATACTAACGACTGCGATCGTAGCAGCTGCCAGTTGGTGCGCGCGTTGAGGATGACTTTCTCACCAACATGCGACTGATGCCATTCAGCGGCTGCTGTTCGTACCTCCTGTGTAATTGGCACCCGACTCAGAAGATGTAGACTTGGCAACATGGCAACAAGAAACGCAGCGCAATCTCCGGAATTTGAGACTGGGTTACCATCAATGCTGATTTCTTGCAGATTCACTGCTTGGATAATACCCTCGAGCCTGCAATGGAAAGAAATTGTATTTTATCAGCGAGAACTATATTTAGATGTATTCCAGCAAATGGATTTGTTCACATTGGGAATTCTAAAAAAACTAGTATCAAAACTATGATGGTTAAAACAAAGTCCAAATTTCATCCAGCGGTATTTACACAAGATTGATACAACCACAGCAAAGAGACTAACTTTCCTCAGATAGGCATACAAAAAGGATGCTTATTGATTTAAATGATAACAAAATCAAGGAATTTTTCATCTAGGTGATATATATGAAATTGTCCCAATGAAATTAGGCTCAATAATCGACACTGTGGCAAAACAGGATGTTACTTAAATCATATGGAAGAAAAACAAGATGAAACCTATTAAAAAGAGAATGATACACTTTGAGTTCTTAATTTTCTGACAACACTATGCCTTGAAATTTTCTCTGAATTATGCCGCAGGAGTGAAAAATTAGCTTAAAAAATTGAAAGGCAATTATTGCAAAAATTCTAGTTAAAGAAATAACACATGAGAAAATTCGGCAGCATGTAATGTGGTTAAGCTAATTCTGATGAAAGCCATTCGAGAGATGTTTAAAGATAAATGCAACTAACGTCTGAAGCAGATTGTTGCTGAGAAAAAGTTTCATGAGCTGAGGTGTGGCATCCAAGCCAGAGAGTTTGGAGATTCGATTTCTTCGCAGGTTTAATTCTTGTAGCGATGCTAATCCATGCAAATCGGTGGAGCTGATGACACGAATTTGATTGGCGGCTAAATTCAAGACTTTCAACTGCTCCAGCGAGGACAAATTGCTCACAACAGAGATTTGATTCCCATGAACGTCCAAGACTTCTAGTCTTCGCTGATTGTGCAACCCTTCAATCCTCTTCAGTCTGAAAAATAAAGCATTAATTGAAAATCATTAAAAAAACAACAAAAATCATTCTTGCAGGGTTCAGCAGAAGGCAATGAAAATTTCAGTAGCTTTTTGATGCGTCTGATGCTGATGCTGATGTTTTTCTTGATATTTATAACAAAAACCATGAATAATTAGTCTTGTAAATGAAATTAATTTCAAATCTTCTGTTAATTATTGTCTGTATCTAGAACAAAAAATTTAAGTTCCTTGGTATTTAAATAAGTTTTGTTCGAAATCCATGTTTTTCCTCAGACGGATGTTTTAAAGGCTGCTAAAGAATTTAATTTTTTAAAGAGATTAATCATTTAAATCGTTTCCCACTACATTACTTAGAATGAGAATAAATATTTAAAGGCCAGCTCCTATAAAGGAAATTTTGCATTTAAAACTTGGTCATATATGTGAGAGGAAATCCAGACTTTATTCATAAAATGTGAGCTTAAAGCAATGTTTACTGGAAAAGCCCTGATTTGAGGAGGGGGAGGGAGGAGCTATGAAAGCTACCAATCTTAGGTTGCACATTATCAGATGTGACAAGTATTCAGGATGATCATAAAATGACCAGCAATTACAACATCTGCTTGTGAGAGACGATGTAAATAACCAAGAATAAAAAGACTCAAGGAGGCAGGGCATCATTCTCCAAGGAGGAGGTAATTTAAGTGGAAACCGTGAATGACTGGGCTTGCAACAGGCCTATAATGAAGAAATATATGATAAATTACTAAATTAGGTTCTGTTTTTTTCTCTCATTGTATGATACAAACTAAAATGGGAGTCAGACCTGTTTTTGCCAAGGAGCAGGACTCGTAAATTACAGAGGCATTCAATTCCAGATATTTTATCTAGCTGATTGTCATAGAGATCCAGGAAGACAAGGTGAGGTACTCCAACAGAGGTCATGTTGTCAAGCCTCGTGATTAAATTGTGCTGCAAGGATATCAAACGAACTTTTGCCTCTCCTGCGATGACTGGAACGCAACTTAACCCTCTCCTGCAGAAATAAAGACAAAAAGTTAAAAATCATAATGTAGGTTTTTACATGAGTTTCTGAATATTTTTCAAGACCTGCAAGGCAAATTTCTGAACTTTGAACTGACTTCTACAGCTATGAGAAAAATACTTAAATTTGTCTAGATTTTCTAGACTTCAAGACACTGGTTCATCTCACATTCTGAACAAAAAAATTCTAGAATATACTGAGTTTAGAAAACTTTCATTCAAAGGAAAAACTTTCCTGCGATTAGTTTTCTGGGTGTAATTTATCCTTATTTTTCACTTCGGAAACCAGAAATGATTTGAGTACGAAAAAAATATCATCAGCTCACCGATCCAGGCTTATACGATCCGGATTTCGATCCTTTTCTTTCTGTGAACGGGATGCTTGAACTTTACCATCAGTTGTCGTTTGAAGTGCGACTGCAGAATATTCGTTGTCATTCCCTCTGTAAAAAATAAATTGACCGTAAAACTACAGAACCATGAAGCAAGGCTTGACACATTACAGATACCCTGTCACGTCTTAATTTATTGAAGGATACCCAACAATCATTCTGCAAAAAATTTGAGTAATTTTGTTTTTTCACATTTCAATAATATTCTTAGTAAATGTTGTACATGTATGTCTGTAAATAGGTACTTACTGTCTGAAAAATACAAAAGGGACATGGATCTTGAACTCACTGCTAATGAGATGAAAGTTTTCATAGTTTCAACATTAAAATGATGTATATGACTAAATTACGGGTACATTGAAATAATGTATGCAAATAAATATAACTAAATAAATGACTTAAACCCAACAAAAGTTATAAGGCAAGAAAATTGATTTTCTATTATTACCGGTAAAAACAATAGGAGTATCCTTCAGTGTTAAAGAGATTATTTCCTTACCCCAGTATAGTTGCTGAGCGGTGGAACAGCCGTGGAGGTCTTGGCACAGCTGGAAGAAGTGGGAGGGCAGGTACGATCGCCAAAAGATTATCATTTGAAGGTTGAGCTCCATCGACAGGCTTTCCAAGAACACTTAGACCATAATTTTTTGCCTGTAGATTTAAACAATAGTACAAAAATGAAACTGATCTTCAAATCTTTGCAAAATGAAAACTGATTTTGCAAGAAAATAATATTTAAATGTTAAATTTGCAATTTTTTACATTGAACTTTAACAAAAAAAAGGGTTTTTCCTTGTCAGATATAGCGCTAAAACTACCCTCTTGAGCAAGAAACCTTGGTCACTAAAAATTGAAACAAAATGGCTCATAAATTGGCAAACTGACTTTTAAAACATAAGCAACTAGGCTTTTGAAAACTGCCAATAACTGTCAAAGGACTTTCACAACATCTGAATGAACAATGCAAATTGTTGAGCCCGAATCCTCTGGGACAGGATTCCTTCAAAAGGAAATTTTACCTCTGTCAAGACACTTGATGGCCCTTAAGAGAATTATCCAGAAAGGCTCAGTAGGTAAGTGTATGCATCATAGGAGAAAAATTAGCTTGCCTTTGACCGAGTGTAAACATGTTGAGGAGTGTCAACACATGAATTTACTGAGGTCCAATATCAACATGGTTTCAGCAGATATCGAGAACTCTTTTTCACCGTGAGGCTTTGATAACTTTGTCTCCGCTGATTACTGGATCAGATGAAGCTTAGATGGAAAACCCCATGAAATCTTTTATGCTACCAATGAGTACACATGCTCCTCAGAACTTAGTGCAAAACAACCCTTAACCCCGATTCACACGGTTCGAATTTTCATTCAACTTTCCTTCCAACTTTATTCCATGGAAATTTTTTCTGTGTAACTCAGATTGTAAAAAAAATTTACTCACAGGGGATAAGTTTGATGAAATATTCTATCATGTGAACTGGGCTTCACTTCTATCAATCAGGTAGCGAGGGAACCTGTGAGGAAGGAGCGACTCTGAAACTAAACCAACTGAGATGACTTGTCAGGAAAATAATGAGAGAGAAAAAAAAGTGAGGATACTCACACCAGTGGCCCCACTGCTGATGGGCATTGGCTGGTCTTGGAACGAAAATCACGAGTAAATCTAGCCCATTTTCGGAGGGATTTTGATCGCCGCGGCTGGGGGTGGCGGAGGGCGGGAGGCACCCGGGCCGCGCTATCTCACACTAACACGAAACCACGACGGAAATTCGCCGCCCCGTTGTTGACACGCCGTATGTGTGTGTTGCCATAGTACTACACATGGCTATCGGGTTGCTGGATACATGCAATGATTATAGGTTTGAAAAATGAAGGGGGGGAGGGGGTCTGAGGTCGCTTCAGCGGGGGGAGGGTTTGGTAACCTACAACTTGATCACTCGTCAATCCCACCCCCCTCCCGTCGACGAAAGATTAATTTCTGATGATAACCTACTTAGCAGTCAGGAAGCAGGGGGAAGGGGGTGGTATGGCTCACTGACCGAAATTCGTTCCCCCCACGAGCGTAAGGGTGGCGGAAGCGCGGAGAGAGGGAGGGGGGGGGTGTGCTCTGCTGTACTAAGGAAGAACGCCGTATGAGCCTTCAGGCGTTGCCAAATTTCCTTTGATCAAACACGGATTTCCTGGTGAATTAATGAATATTTTCCTCCCAATTTTTCAGATGATTTAGTTCACAATTTCACCTTAAGTCCCTGAAAGTTTCATGGAAAATTACTCATAACGTTCCTAAAAAATGAACCGTTAATTGAAGGAAATTTGGCAACTCTCGAATGTGCATACGGCGTTTTTGCAAGGAAAAAACATTGGAAGAACGCCGTATGAACTTCCAGACGTTGCCAAATTTCTTTTGATGAAATCCAAATGCACCTAGAAAGAGTTTATTTTTAAATTTTTCAAAGAATTTTCTCTGCTAAGTTGCCTAGGCAACCCAACAAGACTGACATACCGCTGTTTCCCGGATGAAGGAATGTAACTTCATCACAAGGTTGCAAAAGGGAATTTTTTTAGTCAAAAATAAACCTGCACACTTTTCGTCCAAAATCTGTTGATTTTTGCATGGGACAAGAAAAAAAAATCAGTGAAATTTTCAGTTAGAAATGCCTGAGATATTCCTGGTAAAAATGCAAAACACAAAGGGAAATTTGGCAACATTGAAATGTAGTTACGTTCTTTCGTGAGGAAAACGACTACATGAGCAACATTGCTTTGGCCTACAGCTTGAGTAGCTCTGATGCAGCCGCCTGTTACTGACAAGAGTGGCCTTACTGGAATGTAGCGGTATTTCAAAACAAGCAGTACTAGTACCTATAAACTGTTTTATTTGGGAGCGTCCCTGGAAAATCATGTGTTAACACAAATTCCCGCTGCAAATGCAGTGAACGAACAATGCAGTTGGAGGCCAAGGCTGGAGAGCCTTTAGTCCGCCATGAGCATCGTGATTACCTGTGCCGTTAACCCTTCTTTTCGTGAGTAATGGGCCATAACTTTTTAGGTAAACATAAAATGGCTTTCTTCAGCTCAGAATAAGTTTCAGAGGGAAATTCTGAAAAAAAGTGTCCAAAAAAAACTAAAATCGAAGCATTTCAATACTTTTCAGAACTTTCAGAATTGGACTTCACCTGGGTAAAAAGACACGATCATAGAAGTTTTTGCAGATATTCTTCAGAATTTCAATTTCGATTTTTTAATGAAAAGAGCAATTTTCCGAGTACTTAAACATTTTTGGTAACTTAACTTGGTAAAGAGAAAGGGTCAAAGAACTAAAGGTCTATGAGTTGAGGCCCGTACAGGGGTGCTTACTGTGTTGCAACAGTGTGCAGAAACAGCCAAGTAGCCAGGGACACTCCAAAATGGAATATAGTATATTATGTGAGTAACCTAACAAAAGGATTCGCTTGAATGACCCTACATCCCAGTGGAGCACTTGCGCTGTCATACGTAAATGTTTTTTCAAACATCAATGTTCCTGCAGAAAATTTGATGTTTGTTTAAACCACTATTAAGAAAATTCTTGGAACATTTTGTGGAAGTCACAAAAAATTATGTCATCTTTTTATAGTAGAATATGAATAGAAATTTAAAAGACAGCGCCTCAAAATGTATTCCTTGTTTTGCCAACAATAAGTTATTGTAAAGAAATAAAAAAGCATTGGACAGTTCTACTAAAGATGAGCAAATCTTGTTTTCCGTGTTTCACTTTCCTTTATTTCTAATATGTTTCTGAATGTATCCTAGAGCACAACTAAATGTGAGACTGATAAACTCGATCCGGGTATCAGTGATCATTTTCCAGAAGCAAGTATGTAAGTAGATAAGGGTCCATTCATAAATTAAGTAACGCTCTGGGGAGAGAGGGTTGAAAAGAGTTGCACACTATCTTGTTCTAACGTATTAGAGGATAAGGACCCTCGTCACAAAAGCGTTACAAGGGGGAAGGGGGGTGTTTAAAATGCTGAAAAAGTGCATCACATAATTTACGAACGCTCCCTAAGGTAGTGCTTTGAGAACTTTGTGAATGGTCTTTCCAAAAATTTCATACAGTGAGAAGTTCATTTTGTGGCAAAGTAGCTTGTCAGAGTTAAACTCATGAGCTTCAAAAGTGACTTAGATTGAATAACGAAGTGCTGGTTCCTATATGCTAAAAAAAACTGCAATCTGTTACGTAAAGTTTGCAGTTTACATGCCATGGCAGACAAGCGGTGTAGTTTCAAATGTGAAAAAGAAGGGTTCTGTGCTAAAATTCTTTAAATGGTGAGAGATTGGCTTTCTCTAACATGGTAAAATGGCCGAATGCATGTCATGTTACAAGTTATTGAAGCTTTACAACAATGAGGGTTACTTCAGTTCAGTTGTCATGGCAAAACTTAATAAATTCACTTAGATAAAAGGAGGATAAAACACTTAGACATTTGATCGAACAGACAAATTTCATAACATGGGAGCGGAAAGGTCATTAATTGGCCAAGCTTATGTCAATGAAAATGAGAAGGCTGGCGAAGTATAGATGGCTCTGAATGCAGCTACCATGGGTGTGAAATGACAATGTAAAAGTTCTTAAACATGAGAATTGAATACTTGCTTCAAAAAATTCTCACCGATAAAAATACAGCCATGAGTGGACTAAGTTCTGAAACTTGATATTCTAATGGCGATTCAGAAAGTGGCTTTTTTTCCCTGTTACTATCTATCTTCCTCGGGCACAGTAATTAAACATGAAGGAGTTACTGTTGCTGAACAAACCTTTACACTGCTGTGCTAAGGAAGAGCGCTGTAAAAGCCTTCAGATGTCGCCATATTTCCTTCAATAAAATATGAATAATCAAAGAATTATGTATAATTACCTTCAAATTTTTCGGAAAATTTTGTTAGCAATTAAATCAATATCGGAAATTTTCAAGAACAAATTAGCTTAACTTCCTTCAAAAGGAATTTTTTTTAGAGGGAAATTTGACAGCATTCAGATGCTCAGGTGGCATTTTTTCTTACCATAGTAGTGTAAGTTCAGTTACTTGAGAGTGTGATTTATTTTGATATGATAAGTTAATGAGTGTAAAGGTCCAGAGGGAAATACAATTAAAAACTCACCGCTTAAAAACATAACTTGTTTATTTATAAAATAGTGTCAAATACAAAAGTTTACTTCTTTTCCTTCTTTCCTTCCTTAGCGGCTGCTTTCGCGGCTTTCTTGGCAGCTTTCATTGGGTCATCTTGGTTTTCAGCTGCTTCACGGGCCTTCATTTCGTTCACACCAACAAGCTTGGCTGCTTTCCTTGCCTGTCAAGAAAATAACAAAAGTGAAAAACCGAACAAAAATTTGACTTATTGCTACATATTAAAGGCAAATTGTACAATTTCTTTTTTAAAGAGAGCAAAACCGACAATAAAAGTCAGGTTTTCCTGACAAGCTTGACAAGCGTTTCAAAATTTGAAAAGGTGGAACTAATTGTAAGTTGCGTGATTCTCTTCAGCGAGAGATGGATCCTCATGTTATTTTTTCACACTGGTGGGAGAGAAATTTAAAAAACAGAGGTTAAAGACTTCTTCATATTTATTGAAACAGTCCTCAAGCATGTTTTAGTTAGTAGCCATCAAAATTTAAAACACCATTGCCTGATCTGTTAAAAAGTAATGCTATTAAGTGGGCCTGGCGATACTTTTACACTTTAGACAAAACTGGAATGAAACCCTCTGTTCTGTTATAATCCATATAATTATTGTGACGGCAAACAATATACATCTGTATTCTATGAGTGCCACTCAAAAGCATCATTAAAACGGAATAATGGGGGAATAAGGCTCCAGCATGTTTAGATTTTCAGGACAAGGCAAAGCTGAGGGGATAGTGAGAGGAACTTTCATACATCTTATTACTTGGGACGATCTCCCATAACAGAAATCCCCTAAAAAGCACACTGTCTTTCCAGAGCTTGGATTTCAGTGTCTGTTGACAAAACTTTTATTGATGGCAAAAATGACAACACAGAAATTTAAAGAATTCCATGAACTTAGTCATCTTGTCGTCACAGTAAAAACGACACAAATAAGCATACACAAATTAACTGGTGAGCTGTAGCACTGTATACAGTGATTAGTCACATTTAACGTTCACTTTGAAAGGGACTGCCACTACACTTCACTCAAAAAGAGGAGACATATTTTCTTTTACTTCTGTCTCCCTATTTTATCCTTTAGTTTTTAAAGGAAAAAAAAGCTAACTTGTTGACCGTCCTCTTGTATAGCTATATCAGAATTCAGTTTTTCTTAAATAGGATCAGCTGAAACTAAATAAATGAGTCTCACCCTTCGGAGGGTCCTGTAGGCTGAGAATTTCCTGTCGTTGGCTGTGATAGCGCGGGACTGCACCTTGTCGGATTGTTTCTTGATCGGCAGAACAGTTCCCTTGTACTGAGTGGCTAATTTACGTTCTTCCTCCTGAAAGCAAAATGAAGTGTGAAAGAAACATTAGGAGACAATGCGCTGTTAAAGAAAAGCTAGACATAGACACAGGGCCAAAATGCAAGGCGGGTTCAAACAAAAGTTGGAGAAAATGTTTGCAGAACCGAATAAGCGTGAAGAAATTATTTCACGTGGGAGTTCAGAGCTGCAAGTAGGATAATATGGCACACTTATGACTCAAGCACCTACAATGTACAACCGTTAAAGTTGCTGAGCTATTCGAAAATAGCTCTGTAGGTGGATTTAAGGAGCGTGCTACTTGTGACGTGTTAATGGTCAATTCGCCCCCCCCCCCCCCAAAGAACATGACTAGATTTCCATGTTGCAAAATTTCTATTAGCGATTGAGAACTGTTAGATGTTTCTTACTGAACATTTGATTAATAATTCCTCTGTCTCCATCTAAACAGTAAAATTTTGGACAACAACTGCTCATGATATTCTCGTAAAAATTTTGTTGTTTGAGTTGATTTGGCCACTTTGGAAAGGAATTATGTTCCTTCATCAGGGAAATCACGATTTGATGAAAAATAGAAGACAAATTCAAAGCTTCGCCTGAATCAGCAGATATTTTTGACGAAGGGCTAGTAAAAAATTCAGCATTAGTACTTATTGGAGATCACTTTTATCTGACCTGTAATGGAACGAAAAGTGATACCCTTGCGACTGTAGTAAAAGCAAAGAAAAATGAGGTTATGTGATATCAACTATCGGACCAAAATGAAAATTCTTTAACCCTTACCACTCATGTGTCGGATGTGGTCCGACATTTTTATTTTTCCGTTCCGATCATGTGTCGGACCTGATTTGACAAACCTGTTCACCTCGCGTAAGCTCATGTGTCGGACGTAGTACGCCGCCTCTGTCTCGTGCCGCGATCTATCAGATGTTTGGAGAACTACGTCTACAGCTGTCAACAACTGCATCATCGCACTGTTTTGCGCTAAATTGCGCCTAACCTCTCATGTGTTTTCAGTGTTGTCGGCCCTCCAAACTGCCATTTTAAATATGATCTGGAGGAGAGGTTAGGTGAATTTAATTGATGAGTGGTAAGGATTAAATCCTAAATCCTGAACTTCGGAAAAAAGAAAGAGATAACTTACAGTTGCTTCTCCCTTCTTCAACTTCTTCTTGTTGTGAAGTGGGAAGAGGATGAGTTTCGACTGGTATTCCTTCAGTCTTTTAACATTCACTTGGAGGGATTCCACTGATTTGTTGCGCCTGCGAGGATCAACTGAGATACCGACTGTGCGTGCAAACCTCTTATTTAAACCTGCAGCCTGCAAAATGAGTGAAGAGTAATTTAGGCAAAGAATTTAGTGGTAAAATATATAAACGACACAAATGATACTATATTTCTGAGTTCTATATTACAGCATCCACCATTGGAAGTTCATTCAACTGCCTGTTTTGTCATTTCCTCCAACATATCTCCGCTTTCCTTGACTGGTGAAAATCTTGTAAAATACAAGTAAAGAAATACCCGATGACTTAAAATGTTCGCAGAGCTGAACAAGCAAGAGGTCAAAATGACTCAAGCAAGTGTTCCGAACTGCAAGTATGATAATATTGCACACTTATGACTCAAGCACCAACAATGTACAACCGGTAAAGTTGCTGATCTATCAAAGATAGCTCTGTAGGTGGATTTAAGGAGCGTGCTTTTTCGGGATTAATTCTAGCCTTAGATGGAGACTAAGAGCATTATGAGGAATTTAAATACTTCTTTACCAAAATGTATATACATTTGTTATGCCAAGAGATGTTTTTATCTATTGAACTTCATCAATAAGACTGATTTTGACGATATGTATAATATGAGTGAAATTTGGGCATATATTCATAAGACACCCGTAAAAAATGTCATGGTATTGATTCAACATCAGTTAAAAGATGCGTTTTTTTTAAGACTCCAGGCAATCAATGGTTACCTTATGTAATTAACTCTTTTTTGACATCTAAGTAATAGGGGCTTCCTTTAAATCTGTGGAACCCATGAAACGCGATGGATTGGGTTCCCTGCTTTTTAAAGCATTTCGTACAAGATATTAATCATGGTGGCTTGGTGGGAAAGTCATCAACTTACCGAACCCTGAGGGAGGATGGATTGCTAGGGAGCTTCATGAGCTAGAACTAGGGAAAGAAAATTATGGATAAATGTCACATCAACCTGAATGCATCAATTATCCAATTGACTTATTGGTTTCTGTTGAATGAGTGCCATTTTCTGATGCGACGTATGTCCACTCTTTTCTTTCCTCAGTTCTTGATCGCGTCCATAGAAGTCAGTACATAGCATGCACAGGGCTTCTCTTACATGCGATCAACACCATTGAATCATTCTTCGTAGAAACAACATGAAGGCTTGATTGTGCTCTTTAGATGCGACTCGCGGCATCAGACACAGCTGATAAAAGCATAAAACCGGCTGAAATTATTCCTCAAGAGATCTTAGAGGTATTTGCTGGTTTCCTCAACCTTAATGTGTTTTGCTTCGGTTTACTACAGTAGGTCAAAATTTACACTCTTCAGCAACTATGCAAAGCCATTAGTCGTTCCTACTAAGAGTGGCTCAAGTTCCATGGATCTTTCACCACCTCTCCCTGAGACTATTATCTCTCAGATTCTTTTACTGTCTACACATTCTCCCACTCTATTTTGACCCAGATGATTATAAAATCTGTTTCTCAATTCTGTGAGTGAAATCTGTATAACAGCTTACGATGAAGCAGAATTGGATGGTCTGACAGAACTGAACAGTGCATAAGTTAGTGAAATGGGCATCGATATTTGAAAGAGAGTGAATGAAGGAGGCTAAAACTACTTACAGCTTCACGCCGAAGGAGGCTCACGTAGTTCCCGATTAAGAAACAAAGGATTAGTAGCTAAAACTCACCTTAAGCTCATCTAAGGTGAATCCACGTCCTAACCTAACTTTGGTGTGATACCTAAGAGTAGGAGCGTGTACGATGGGCCTCAATGGACCTGCAGCAGGACGTGGAGCAATTCGCTGTGCTTTCTTGATACGGTTCTGCCTCCTTCTGTATTTGCGGGCTGGCTGATTGAACCAAGTCTTGATGTACCTCTGCCAGTCCTTGTGGAAGTGAACATTTGGGATAACGTTGTTGCCCTTAGGCGCCATGATTCAACTGTTGATTGGCCCCTAGAAAATAAAGCCAGCAATTACGGGGATGCAGTTCAAGGGTAGGAGATGAATATGACTTATTGATTGGAGATAAAAGAAGCTCATTAGAAAATGACTGACTGGTCTTCTGATACTTGGTTTAAAGACTAAATTGTTCGACAAACAGCACACTAGCCAGGTGAATTGAATTGCCAAATGTTGCACCCCATATTGACTAACGACATCCAGCAAGCAAGGATGAGATCAAACAAAGGTGTTACTAGAATGCTTTACAAACTAACGCTAGCGAAGTGATTTATAGAGAGGCATCATGATGAACCATGATGAAAGCGATGGCTGTCATTTCAATTTCAGGAGGTTAGATTAGAGATGTAAACAACCAAAAGCTAGGTGGTGTGGTGCCTCCACAGAAAGGTCCGGAAACTTTTATATGCGTAATTAGGTCAAAAGGGGGCTAGTAAGTTTGATTGAAGTTACACATATACTAGAAAAGACGTTCAAACCGATTTCAAAGAGTCTAAGGAAAACATGCCTGACAGGATGAATCGACACGCTGGCCGCTAGGATGAACGTCTTATGACTGGAAAACAACAGCACCCCGAGGGTCGACTTGAATTTGCAATGCAATTTAGAACCCTTAGAATAAAAAATTGACGGATGGACAAGTGAAAATTGATGATTTTATAGCGATTAAGACGGATAAAATGGAAGAAAAGTCACGTACCTCACGAATCGAACAGCGGCCAAATAAACTTTTAGGCTGAAAAGTAGTGCCAACAGAACACACCGGGCCCGGGGCGCTTTTCGGCCCTGTTGAGTGTCCTCCCTGATTAGCGCCAATTTCAAATTGACGGGTCAAAAGTGCCCTTTCGACTTTCCTAGCGTTCGAGTTGAGTGTTCTTGCCGAGAAAATCTGTTGAAAATTCCATTCTCTTAAACAAATCTGCTTTCTTAAGGGGGAAAACTACTTATTATTCAACTTCTCCCTATACGATCCCATTTTCTTATGGAAGCTTTGACCAGATAACCTCAAACAATGCCCAAGTAAACAGTAAACATGGCTCTTATCACCACTACTGTCTTTATCTGTCTTCTGCGCTTTCTTCCTGTGCGTTCGTGCACAAAATGAACTGAATTCCCTCAGTCATATTATCTAATCTAACTGTTACGTAATCCATTATTCTTTCGGTGTCTCCGCATGCTGACGCTTTGAAGTGTCTTTACTTATTTCTTTTATCAGTTTTTATAGCCCAAAAGTTCTTTCTGCGGCTAGTTTATGGGTTTTAAGTGTAACCTCAACTTCAACCCTCTTTGAATATCCAATGTGTGATGAGTGTGTCTGTGCGTATATTATTTTTTGGTCTAGCGAAAGATCTCTCTGGTGAAAAGGAAACGCAGATCATCGTACCATCTAGTGTATCCCGCCAAGACCTCCTCAAAGACTTGGTGAGTAGATTTTCTCTTCAGGCCATCGAAAGCATCATTACTCTCGCAGTTAACGAAGAGTATATTCTTGATGCTGAGGAAATCAACTTGAAGAACGGAGATCAGTTAGCCATAATCCCACCGCTTAGTGGAGGATAGCAATTGTAATATCCCTTCAGAATCCAAACACGATGGACCACGTTGAGTTGACACACTCAGCAATTGATGTTAATCAGATAAGCAAACTGATTGGGTCAAAGAATTGTGGTGCTCAGTCTATTTTCATTGGAACAACAAGGGAAGATGGGGATGATGTCAAAGTTGAAAAATTAGTCTATGAAGCTTATGAATCAATGGCAATCAAGATGATGAAAACCGTCTGCGGAGAGTTGCGAGCCAAGTGGCCACTGATTGAAAATGTTGCAATTTGTCATCGCTTGGGCTCGGTGCCAGTTGGTGAAACCAGCATCGTGATAGCTGTATCATCGCCGCATCGAAAAGATGCTCTTGAAGCCGTTCATTTTGCAATTGATAGGTGCAAAGCAGTTGTACCTATCTGGAAGAAAGAAGTTTTCTCTGAAAATGGGATAAGCCGATGGATGGAAAATAAAGAGTGTGAATGGAGCAGTTCAAATGCGGAGCTGACATCGTGAAGGATCTTTCTATGTACAGACTTACAAATGTTTAAGTATTCATCCTTTCTTGAATCTTAGTTTCCACAGTTCCCAGCTCTTCGTATGCTCTCAGTAAAGAATTTTGATTGTATTTCGATAGTGAAACTGCTGGAATGTGTATCTCGTTTGCAGTGCTCCAAAATCTCCACTTCTACGTTATTTCATCATAGGAGAACAAATCAACGCCATTGCTTGAAATTTTCCTAGATTCCTTTTAACACACGGAAGAAAATACAGAAAGAAGTGATGATGATGTTACAATTAAAAAATAAATCATGACAGCAAGCCTGCAACTTTGCAAACTGAGATATATGTTCCTGCAGTTTCACCATCCATCGATCTTGTGTTGCTGAAATAACTGTGGAAAGTATGTACCTTACGAAATCTGCATCAGATTTTTAAGTAAATTCACATGATATGCAGCACTCACAAATCCAAAATTTTTGGTTGTTAATTTTTCGTTTTTCCCCCTATCAAAAGTAAGGCGTTATGATTCACTGTGAAAAAGAAGTAAATTTAGCAGCTAATGAATGAGAACATATGTTTAGAGAGTTAGACATTGAGTGCGGGTCATACTCAATGAGTACCTAGCACAGCTTAAGTTCAGAGTTTCTACTTTGCAGAAAACTCCTTAATCATCCTATGTGATGCAGAAAAGTTTTTCTGAAAAGATGATTACAATGCTGCTGACGTCAATTGCATGTTATCTTTTCAATTAAAATGCCACCAATCTACTTGGTTTCTCATTCCTGAAATTGATCAATTCTTCCGTAGAATCGCGACACTACCCTAATTACAAATTGTTGTGATATCAGCAAAACAGTGCAATAAAGTTACAAGAAAACTTTTGCGAATTGAGTAAAGTTATTCATTCTAGTGTGTGGTATTCTTGATTTGATGATAACAGTTTATATATAGGCGGAATTGGACTCAGAAATACTGGCCTATTAGTGCTTGGACTGGTTACATGGTCCACAAGAAAACGGGTACCTAACCATTCTACTTAAATGTTAATTTCCCAGCCCATCAGGATGCCCTGCTTGCCTGTCTGCCCCTATATTTGCGTTTGTCAATTTTCCTCCTGTACTAAGAACAATTTATGTCATATGAATTAGTTTCCCTACCGGATTCTACTTACATCTATTTGAGCACATAGTTTTTATTAGTGTTGAGTCTACGTCATCATAGAGACAAGCTCGACTCCAAATGTTGAAACCCGCGGAGTTTTACAAGAAAATATTTGTAAATCTTTGAATCAAATCATTGTTGTTGGTTTTTTTATGTTTTTGTTTTATTTTTGTTTTTTTGAATTTGCATAATACTTAAGTTTTTAAGAGTGTGGACGATATATTCCAAGCACAGTCAGAATTTTTCCCAGAGTGAGCATCAGTCTTTCTGTCCATCCTCTCAATGTGTAAAGATATTCTCAGCAGTTTCTTAAATTTACTCTCAAAGTCATTGTGATTTCTGTAGGCCTTTACTCGCTATTTCTAAGGGAATTTTCCGAAGAAAATATTTTCTTATTTTCCCTTTTTTGTTGTCAAGTTAATTTTTCTTGTTTAGATTTGTGATTTTTACCTGTTTTGGTTTTCAATTATGTGAATTTTTATACAGCATTTGGATTGTAAAGCAGTTTTGATGCCTTTTTTATCTTGCTTTTTGCCCTCACTGTATGTTTGATGATCATGACTCATTAATAATCATGTGATGATCGTTAAAGTACTTTTAAAAATTAGCATGAAATTTTAATCACCTTCATGTGCCGTTCAAGGACTCAAAATAGTGATTTTTTATCACCTGAAAAGTCCATGCAGATTCAGGAATCCTGGTCTAGATTTTTTGCCAATCACTTGTCAACATACTTTTTCTCTTTGAAAAGCTAATACTGTGATTTTTCTCCTTAATTATTTCTCCAATCGTCTAATATGAGTAGTTATGGGTATGTATTTTGTTTTTTATTGTTTTTAACAGGAAGTTTACTTAATAGCCAGGTATTAATTTTAACTTTTAAAGTCTGTGGTTAACTTTGTTACAGTCCAGGAACTACATTGATAGAAAAGCTTTATTTTTACAGTAAGAACTTTTTCTTGGTTTTTACACTACTTGTATTTGTCATCCATCTAACAAGGGGAGTCTACGAAGTGACATCCTGGGATTGGGTTCATTTTGCTTGTACATGAAGAAGAGACAAATCTAAGGTTGACGTATTTTTTTGTAGCCGCCACCTCCCAACCGTTCTCGAGATATCGATTTTTAAAGTTACGATTTTTGCACGTTTCCGCGCGGAGTTCCGGCGAGTCAACTGAGCGCCGGCAAGCTGCACGAAGCCCGTTTCCTATCAGCGCTGCAGACCGGTCGTCCTTATCAACTGACTCGTGGCCGAGTGGTGGAGTATTCGCCTACCGTTTCAGCGATCGCGGGTTCGAATCTCGCTTCGTGCCGTAGCTTTTAGGGTACGCCGCAATGCGTTTTTACAAGTTTTTTTTATTTTTATCACACACCAAGGGGTCCGCCCCCTGGCCNTTATGGGTATGTATTTTGTTTTTTATTGTTTTTAACAGGAAGTTTACTTAATAGCCAGGTATTAATTTTAACTTTTAAAGTCTGTGGTTAACTTTGTTACAGTCCAGGAACTACATTGATAGAAAAGCTTTATTTTTACAGTAAGAACTTTTTCTTGGTTTTTACACTACTTGTATTTGTCATCCATCTAAGTCTTTGCTTGAATTTGTGAAACATATTTTTATCAATTATTGTTGAAATTAATAATAAAATGATTTGCAGAAATGGGTTTGTTTTGTTTCAAAATAATGTATTGAGGCACAGGCGTAGTAGCCAAATAACCAATTGACATATTTTACCTATAGGTGATAGAGGCTCTTGAAATAAAAGTTTTACATATTTTCATGACTACAAAATGCTTAGCGTCTTACTTTCTTTTACATGAGTACTAGGAAACAAAGAGATAAAAATCTTGACCTCCTGGTTAAAATACATAAGTACCTGCTTTGAATAAATCAGTCAAGAATGTTATTTTTTCAGAACAGAAGTGCAAGTATTTATGTCAGTTTTTGTAACTCTTAAAAATTCTGTTCGGAGTTTTTCCTGAAAGCTCTTTAGCTTAAGTTGTCATAACTAATTGAACTGTTTTACTAACAGAGATTAATGTTACCCTTTCTTTTAAAAGGCAACATTTTTCTTCCTCCCCCCCCCCCCCCCCNCCCCCCCCCCCCCCCATGGTTAAAGGGTGGGGAACATTATAAAAGATGACATTCGATGTACCAGAGAAGGAACAGAAGAAGTAAATTTTTCATCTAGGTATAATGCTTCAATAATTATTACAGGAAACTGTTTTTTTCTTTCAAAATGAAACACTTGCCCTTTCTTAGTAACTAAGTTTTACAACAATGACATAAATAAATGTAGATCGTATTATTAAAAACATAAAAAACCTCGCATTCGATACAGAAATTGATAGCTGAATCGAATGCAGGGTTTTTTCCAAGCACTATTCTGCTTTCATTTCTCTGATTTTGCCGATTTTTTAATTTAGACTATAGAGTAATTCTTAATAATTTCCTTAATGAGTAATCTTACTTATCAAAATATTCTTTGACTGTGCGTGGAGTGTAATTTTGTCTTGACAGCATTAGCACTACGTGAATTAAAATTTCTATCTAGTAACCTCCATTTTTGCCGCAGGGTAGGGATCCCTTACCTAATACCGCAATCAGAATGCTGTCGGCTGTTGAAGAACCTAATCACAACTGCCGGTATGTTTTGTTGAGAAGTTACGTAAATATAAAACGGATGCATTAGTAAGTCAATTTCTTATGTATGTGAACAATAACTGAATGTCCAGAATTCTAAACATCTGACTGTAAGTATCTGTAGGAAATATTTATGTCAGGTCAGAGTTTGTGAATCCTTGGCAGCAGTTAATGGATTTCCCCTAAGTAACAACTTCGCTTAATAAAGTTTGCTAAGTAAGTACAGCTCAGATTCACCATATTATACATAAAATTATTAGTCCAGAATCAGTGTAAGTAATGTTTTGAGAATAATGTGTTCACTAATCTCAGAAGTTTGTGAGCAGGGGTGCAAATTGCGCGGAAGCTGAGAGGTACTTGTTTTTTTTCCCTAGATTTTTCAGATTTGAAATTCTTGTGGAATACTCATTGCGACTTTTAACACACATTCTAAAATTAACAAGAAATTCAACAAAATTTTGATCAGCGCGTTGTGCTAACCCTGCAAGAACTTAGCACATAGCTAAAAATTACAGAGGCATAGACCAATTTGCTCTTTGGTTTGTGAAATTTTCGTATAAACTTGGCATCCACATATATGTCCGACTTTTACCAAAATTATCTCTTCCGTCACTATAATAGCAACAACATTAGCATAAACATTCTTGATAAGAGGTGGCATAGTATCGCGGAGAACCCAGAGAGTTTTGTATTAAATACTAATGATGCTCCTCTGAAATAATTAAAAATAGACCATTATAAACTAAATATATCAACAGCTCTTGCCGACAACAACCTGCTACCTTCATCAACTTAATATAAAGTTTAGAAAAATAGATAAGCCAACTAATATATGTACTTTCATTTCCATGCAAACAGTCAACCTTGCATTAATTGAGGAATGATAAATACAGTTTTGACAATGCCTTGGAATTCTTACCATTTAGAGTCAGGAAATTAAAAAAATAGCTTCATCGTTTGCATTTTTATTAACTTTAGCATATAGCATATAACTATTAGCATAACTTTAACTTACTCTGGGTTAGAGTAATTATTGAGGGCAAACAAGATCATGATCTAAATTAGCAACAGTCTAACTTATAGATCTGAAAGTTAAAAGTTTTTTGAAGTAAATTTAATGCTTCGAGTTGAAAAAGCAACTAAGTTCTAAATTGAGTGAATCAAGGGCAAACCTTACAGTTACTTCATTGATAACATTCTACATATTTTTTTATCGCAAAATATCTGAATACATGATTTTTGTACATATTTTTTCCCTCCCTTTAAGAGTGAAACCCTTGCTTGAGATGTTGAGGAAATAAATAGGTAACTCAATTCTTCAAAACTAATAATTACAATACTTCAACTCTAGTCAGCATGAATAATCTTCCTCAATTTTTAACAATTTAATGTCCTGATAATTCCTATTAGCACTATTTATCTTGTCCGCAGATTTTTAATCTCAGAATACATTTGTAAGTTATTAACCTCATAATGATGCCATCCAAGAGTCAGTAAATCACATTTAAAAGTGAATAGGAACGCCCATCAGTTCAGGGATACCTGCACTTTTATTTCCTTACTTTAAAGCTGATCGTAAAGATTGGAGTGAAGGGGAAAACTACTACAACCAAGAATACACTATATTCACTCCTCAAGTTAGTGGGCCTCCCATACAACAAGAGTCCTTTGGTGAAAAATCTGGGCCTCCAATCAATTGCTTTTTAAATGTAATGGTCGGTTAATGAGATTTTCCTAGCGCTTTTTTCAGTTAAGCGAGCCTCTCTTGAGTAAAAATGTTGGGAGAAGGGTTATGGAAACCCAACATACCATCACTTTTATTCCACAGACGCATTTCACATGCAGTGAGAACCATACAGTAAAAATGTGAGCAATTTTTGAGTTGCTACTCCAAAGTTAGGGCCGATAATGGGTGTAATTTCAGTGTTTTTCAGTTTTGCTGGCCTTTTTTCGGAAAAAACTCGAAGTTAAAGATATTTAAACCCAAAATACCATTGATTTTATTTTTCAAACATATTGTACACACAGTAAGGACCATTCAGGCAAAAATTGAGCGATTTTTGAGTTGACTTTTCAGGGTAATGGTCGATTATCGGAATAATTTTGGTGTTATTTTCAGTTTTTTAGGCCTTTTTCGGACAAAAGTGAAAAAAAAGACACTAATGCCCAAAACGCCATCAGAATTGTTCTTTAGGCGTCTTTCTAATACTCTAAGGAGCATTTTAAAAAAAATTGGAGCAAAAAATAAACTTGCAGCACAAAAGTTATGGGCATTTGAAAGGGGGAAGGTTTTGCCGCTAAAATCAGACAAAATCACAACAAACAATCAACCACAGCACATCAATGAGAGAAGTCAAACATTGTATGCGTTTTTTTCTCAAGTCTACATACTTTTATTGGCGTTGTGTCAAATTTTCACTTCAATCTGATGAAAAATAGGCCCGGGCTGAATTTTTTGGGGGGAAATGACCCTCTCTTTCCCGGAAGTTTGAAACGTCTCTTTCTTGAAAATTCTTAAAACTTCAAAAATTCATATCTCAGTGAGTTTTTCGATTTGAGACCTAATATTTTGCAGAAGTTCATTATTTGGTGGCCTGATCAAGAAAAAAATTTATCATCAAAATCCGAGTCGTGCATGGCTGGTAGGTTCTACATGGAATGACCCTAATTTCCCTCAATTTCCTTATGTTTTATTCAATTGTATTAACATTTTATATTTAAAATGTTCTATAAGATTGTCAAGCGTAATACAGAGCACTATATCGTACATGATTCAGCTCGGTTTTATTTTTAGATTTGGAATGAACTGGGTTCTGTAGTAAGGAGTTGTATGAGTTTTTTTGTGATCAATAAGTGAGAAATGCAAAGGAGAAATGTTATTGATGCGGAGTATTAGTTCTTATCTTGAACGTCAGTTCTTTAGTGCGTGTTCACAGTTCAAATGTGTTCGATTTTTGTCTTCTAATTTCTCAGTTTTAGTGCGAGAAAATGCTATTTTTCCACTCCGATCTCAACGCTCTCCAGTTTTGTATTGCAGGACTACGTTTCGATACTGTGTAAGTGGAAAACCTCTTTTTATTCCTCAGAGTTTTTTTTCATCTTCTGAACTGCAAGAAACAAAATTACAGGATACACTCCTGTTCAATAAGTCCGAGTCCAACGAGGAAACAACTCATGAATCGAGGGTGTAAGTCGGTAATCACACAACTCGGTTTGCGACGTCGCTGACTTCCTGTCATACTTTATTTCTTGAACAGACAACTACTCAACAGTAATTCTTTACAACTGCCATGATTTTTCTTCTCTGTGCAAAGAAAATTCTGCAAAAACTTCAAGGAATGATGTCAACTTGTTCTTCAAAAAATAACATAGTGGTGGAGGTTTTCAGACACCGAAAACGAGATAGGTGATTGCCGACTTACACCGTCGAAATGTTACTGTAATCATTGTTAATTACTCCACCTACTGGAAGTTTAAAAGATTCCTCATCAAGTCAATTAAAAACTCAAGGGAAATGTTGAATGATCACCACTTCAGGTGTCTGCTGAAAATACCCGATGAAATGCATCTTTGGATGTAAAGAATATTAAGATTGTTGTCAACTTTCTAAACTGCAAGAGACAAAATTACTGAATACTCTCATGTTCAAAAGTCCAAGTCTAACAAGGAAACAACTCATAAATGTTACTGTAATTATTGTTAATTACTCCTTGTACTGGGAGTTCTAAGGATTCTTCATTAAGTCAATTGAAGACTCAATAGAAATGTTGAGCAGACACCATATCAGGTGTCTGCTGCAAAAAACAATTGGAATGCATCTCTGCATGCAGCATTCTGCCTTCCTCTTGTTGGCGACACATTTGCAGATTCCTTTCAGCAGGAGAATTTAGAGGTTATGCACAGTTTGTGACTGCAGGCTCTCCCGTCGATAGGAGTGTGCGTGCACTGCAAGGGAGGGGTGAATCAGTGGCGGGAAGCAGTGGACATGTTCAACTAAGGAACTATCGTGTTCGCTTGATTTCAGGTACTTGTTTAACGTAGCGAATATCTGAGAGTTCAGCACCTGGAACCTGCGGATTCAGTCCACCATCCGTTTGAGGTTCTGAAACAAGAAATTAACAACACTCAGAAAACCTAGCTCAGGAAACAGGTGGATGCTTTAGATAATTAGGGATTATAAGTGTATTCACTCCAGATCAATTCATCTTTCTTAGACAAGATTTGTCTTTTATGTGGGCAAATCCTGATTCTTTAATTGTTTTCACTGCATGCAGTTGTGTGTTGGAATGCCTGCTCAGCAAGGTTGCCAGATTGTGAGAAAAGATATGGATGTTTGACATTTGGTTAAATGTAGAAATGCACTGAAATTTCAGCTGTTCAGACCATGAATCTCAGCAGAAGAGTCACTATGTGTCACTCATAAATGTATTCGCAGTAGGACAGATAATTTTCTGTGTTACCTTAGTTTTCTCAGCAATTTCCATCAGAATGGAGGCTCAAATTATGCAACTTTGAACTCGATTTTTGTAGGTTGTTTATGTTCAAAAAAATCCAAGAAAATTCCTGTGAGCTGAACAGGGTGTCCACAACCTTAGCAGGAACAATTTCCCTGACTTTTGTGAGTTTTCCCAGACTAAGATTTTCTAACTTTCCATGTCGACTACTTTCACACATGGAACTGAAAATGACAAATTTTTGGCATTGGTTAATTTCACTACAAACAACAAAACCATAACTCAGAGCATTGAGCTCCAAACCAAACTGATGAGCTTTTTTTCCATTGTGTGGACAACAGTGATGTTTTTTCAGATTTCAAAATACATGATTTTTCAAATTTACGATTTCTGCCATAAAATTCCATGACTTTCCCCAGATTTCCCTGACCTGATGGAATTTCTTGACAATTCCTGGTTTTCAAGAGCTGAAGACACCATATTAAGTCAACTTGTTACTTCCCATAGGTAAAAGGATTAATACCTAATTACTGAATAACCTCTTGGAAAATACTGGAGAATAATTTATGGGGGAAAAAAAACAATTCAAAATATTGAACATGGGTTATAAAATATGTGGTCGAATAATTCGAATTTGTTCGAGGTTTCTAAGATCGAGTTTGAATCGAATATCAGAAAAAGTATTGGAACTTGAATATTTGAGATTTTCGAATATTCGCACAGCCCTAGAAACTGATCTCCCAAACAATTGCAAACGAAAAACAAAAAATCTTTTGATTAAATTCCTGGTGAACATTGATATTTGGCTCAAGAATTTACTTTCCAAACCGGCAAGTGCATCCATCATTTGGTGAGTGAAATTTTTGGGAGAAAAAGCGTTACAAAAGTCCTATAAATCAGATCTTCTCCTGCCGAGGAAAGCAAAAACATTGTACTTTACTCCAGATTTTGCAATTTTCTTCTTTCTATTGCATTCGATTCGGAGGAAAACTTAATCCTCACTTTGTGTCATTTCTTCGATTAGTATTTTCAATGATACGCAAAAACTGTTCTGAAAATCTGAAGAATATGTATGCATTTGCTTTTGTTTAATAATACATTTCCTCAGAAAAAAAAGGGTGAAAATCTTGAGTAGGGTTACAGCATCTTTTCTTTTGACGGCAGATTTACTTGTTCACTCTCTACTTTTGTCTCCATAGGGAACAAAACAAACTTAAAAAAAGAAGGAGAATTCAACAGCAGATTGAAAAAGTAGGATGATAACTTGAACAAACCTGGAGATCCATAGTTGTATCGTGGAAGCTTGCGTGTTTTGGGCATTGCTTCCATCAAAGTCTTTGTGAACTGAAGGAGGTTTCCTTGGATGAGTAATTTGACGATTTTGAGGAGCTCTTCCATCACTACTGCGATGCCTTGGTAACCTAATAATCTACACACATGGCGCATGTGGCAAGGGCCAACGAAACCTACAACAGAGGCAGATAAGAGTTGAGTGATAGGATGATAATGACATGGAAACATAAATTAAAGCTTCCAAACAGGGAACTCATATAAAAAGAATAAACTTATTTGATCTTAATTTGATGCATTTGTGATAAAATGCTACATAGTGTTTTCTTCCCTTTTATTCATGGATTTTTCAAACCTAACTGTCATTCTTTTCACAGTTTCAGAGAAAGAAGTCAGAACTGCAGAAGAAAAATCTCCGTGCCAGCAGAGGTCAAGTTAGGGACCTTCTTTTCCACATGCAAATTTTTCTTAACATTTGATTAAATGCACGGAGGAAGAAAATACGGATATTTCAGCACAGGTTTGACCCTGAAATCTAAAAAATTGAAGGAGATATTGGTCCTGAATTTCCGAGACAAAAAATTTTTAGTTGTAGGAAAACTCGGTTTGAGTGTTTGCAAAAAATTAAGGAAAATATTCTCCCAGAGGATAAGGTCCCTCCTCACAGATCAAGTCGCACTTATTATTACTTTTGTTTTGAATTAACATCCAACAAACAGGGTTTCCGCAGAATTTAGAAAATTATATGTTTTGACATTTTCCTGACACATTTTAGTGAAATTTCCTTAACAATTAAAGATTCACCGAATGGTTAAAAATGCGTAATTTAAAATAGTTTATTCACAAATTTGGTTGTTCGAGACTTCAAATCTATTGTTGAAAGCAAATGAAAGTGATTCAATAGTGTTTCCATGACACCTTTGTCGTTTTCCCTGATATGACATTTCCAGGTTTTCCCTAACCTTTGAGCGTTCCCTGATAATTACCAGTATTTTCTGACTGTGGCAACCCTATACAAATTAATATAAATAACTTTCAAAATATCAATGCTTTGGGCTAGAGAACCAAAAGCTTTTCCAAAACTAAGTAAACAAGGCATAGCTGAATAAAGTTTTCACAAATTCAGCAACTTACCTATCGAAAAACTTACAAGTTTCCAGCACAAAAGAAAATCAATGAAGCTCTCATAACATTGTCACCGCTAACTTGAAAGTGGAGAATAAAAAAAAAGTTGGTTCTTCCTCCCAAGTATTTTTCTTCGTATTGCAAAAAGAACTAGTCTGGGGCCAAATGGAGCCTTTGTAGGTACCTACATATGTGGGCCAAAATTAATTAATGATGGTTATTTGGAAAAAGATGACTGTCTCTTTACCTGTGAATTGACTATAAATTGTTAATAAGCAAGATTCAATTATTTGCTGCCCCAGAGATAAGCATGGCCCATTTGTGGAGGCTTGTCTCTATGAACAGGGTTGGTAAACGTGATTCCACGGCATTTCACAAACCTGTAGACATTAAAGTTTAAGTTAATGAAACCGGAAAAAGAACAAGACAAGAAATTTTTCGAAACAAGAACGAGAAGGCTACAAAGGATAAGTTTCTAATTTTTAACAGTACCTGGATTTAATGAAAATGATTTGAAATCAAAATGTGTTTCTCTATATTTTTCAAGAAGAAGGCATCCCCGTATTATGTACTGTATCATTTGCACATTTTTGGCACCCTCACCCCTATTTAACACCTTAAATCTCTTTGACAGGCCCTCCTAAAACACTGCAAATATAAAATTATTCAATGCTGACCTATCGTATACCTACATTTTAAGATATTGTGAAAATTTATTACAGAGGATGGAGGTGGGTTGCTAGAAAACACAAAAAATTAAGTATTCTGCCCTAAGATTACTTCAGAGTTGCCAAAAGCTAAAACATAAATTTTGAAGAAAAGTTATGTATTATTTGCCTAGAAATTTTCAGATATTTTGATTAAATTGCAAACAAAATTGTCTGAAAATATTCTCAATTATTCCAGTAAAGTCGTTTATATTGAAGGAAATAAGGCGGCGACGACAATTTTCTCCTTGGTGTTTCTTCATAATTTTTTCTTTTTCTTTTTTTTTACAGAAAGCTTTCATTGATCACAATCCCTAAAATCTAAAGTTTCAGAACTAAAAGGCAAAATTTCTAACCGTCGTCAAAGGAGCATGTGAAAGCAGTAGAAACTGATGACATTTTTCAGTTAAAGGAAAAGAATCAATGTTCTGCGGTAAAATTCCCCGACTTTTCCAGGTTTTCAGTGACTCTTCGTCCTTACTTGTCACCCTGTAGATCAGAGGCTCTGTCATGGCAGAGTTAACACATACCTGTTAGTTGCCGCATTGTAGCAATAATTTGGTAAAAAGTCGTAATTAAGCTCCTAAAAAACGTGTAAGGTACATAGGAAGAAAAACGTTGTGAGTAGCCTCTCTGAACATGGCATCATATTCGTCCAGCGTCAAATGCTTGCTCAATAGTCTATGACACAGCCTGTTCACATGTAACAAACCATCCAATTCCTGCAATTAAAAAAAGGCAGTGAAATTAAACGATGTGGTAAATATTTAAAAAAAGAAGGTTTTTTCACACCAAAATAAAAGTTTAACACCTTACGGAAATTGTTCCCTCATCAAAAATTTCATGTGAAACAAAATGAACACACAATTTTTCAGACTCAGCTCGGATATGAAAAATTAGAGAGTTCATTTCAATTTTTAAATACAATTCCAATCATGATTAACTAAAAATCACAGTCAGATAAAGACAATTCAAAATTAGGGCTAATTTTTCGAACTGGCGAACAATTATAATTGAATAGCAATTAGAATCCAATGATTACCGTCTAATTTTTGTACAGAATTTGAGGGCATCCACAGCCAAGACTTAATTTTTGAGATTTAATATTCTATCAATCTTCAAAAACCAAAATATTAATTGATTTCATGCTACTGATTCTAAAATCATCTTAGCTTTGGGGGGAAAAGCCAGATCTTATCTCTGGAATCAAAGTAAGTAAGTTAAGGCCAGGCTTACCAGCGAGACGCCCTCAAGGGGCCAAGGCAACTGGCTACTGCCGTCAAGCACCCTGAAATTGGACCGTGCTCCTTAACTTCGTACTATTGACGCATTGTGTAATCTCAATATTCCCGCTAGGCTCAGCAGTCGTCTGATAGCCAATGATAGGTCTTATCAAAGACTGTGACAGACGCTGCAGAGCATGAATATTCAGAGCAGGGCCATGCCTCCACCGAGTTGGACTGTGTTGTTGCAATCTCCACTGACAGGTAACACTGCACGGTGCTTCTGAAAGGGGTTTGACTCGAAGTTGGTCCTGACATAAAAAGAGGGTTATTCAAAATCGGCGATTTTACCCTACACTTGGATTTTGCCCGGAGTTGGATATGTTGTTCCCTATCACAAGACACGCCTTTTTCCGGCATTGGCAAGTTCACCCGAAATTTTTCCCGCGCGCTACAGCGTTGCCAAGTTGAAAACAGGCAAATTCCGTAAGTGGCAT